TCGGGTGATAGCGATGGGTTCGTGACCAAGTATTTGCCGCAAGCTGACGGCGTTAGGAAGTCGAGAAGAAAAATAACACAGCCCTCCAAGACAGCCGCCGCTCGTTTGTGAAGGGCCTCATCGTACTGATACTGCAAAATCTCAAACACGTCGATACAAACCCAGACGCCCCCGAGAGGCCAGATAGTAGAGGGCATCCACCGGTCTTGGGGATCTGTATCTGCCCAGATATCCGTATTGTGATGCGCACACCATCCGTCACAGCCATACATGGCCTTCGCCGTCTTCTTTCCCCGCTCCGCCATCCGCTCTAGCAAATCGAGCATCGGAACGGAACATTCGGTCAAGTTACACGGACCTGCCGGCCAATAGTTCATCTGCAGGTTGATGTTGATGGTATACTTGCATCCCCAAGGTGGAGCAAATGAAGGATTCCAGATACCTTGCAGCGTCGCAGGTAGCGCCTTCACAGAGTCTCGGCTTGCCGAGATGAGCAGATACCTACCATAATTGTGGTATTGAGCGACTAGCCCGGGATCTCGATTTTGTTTGATTCGCTCATCTGTTGGGAGATGATTGGCATCGGGCCACATACGAAGTGTCGTTCTTCCAAAGAGGTTCCGGTAGTCCATCTGATGACGCTCCGCCAGTGTGGTCCACGGACTCTTCAGCGCCTCGAGGACATCACGCGTAGCGGCTTCTTCAGGTTCGTTATCTCGATAGGTCGTTTGAGCGCCAATGACAATCGTACACGCTGAAGTGGTCACAACCACACAGTTACCGACACTCTCCACGGACCCTTCCGCATCGTCGCAGGAAACCTTGAGAACAACAGACAATCGATTACTGTTCTGTCCGCCTGGCGTCGCACTGAGTGTAATCTGTCCGTCCTTTGCGTCGATGCTGTCCAGGAATTCGTTGGTCTCCCACTCAATCTCACTGACGCGGTTCAGCCGAATGACGAATCGAGCAGCCTCCGATGCCGTGATCCTCAACACCAATACATTATCTGGGAAGCTGGCGATGGCGTCTCGACGGTAAGATACGCCTCGACATTGGTACTCGACAGTTGTCTGCGCGGTCTCCAGACATAGGTATCGGCGGTAGTCCGTCACATCCTCAGTGGCATGGCCGAACTCGATGGTGCAAGTGCCTAACGGTTCATAGTGCCGCATGCTCGCGGGCGTCGCGAAAAAGGCCTCTCTCACGAGAGACTCGGCCTCGGCGTGCTTTTCATCTCGGATCAGCTGTCGGAGTTTCGGCAGGTGACGGAGGGCGTCTTTTGGCGTTCTGTCCTGTGGCCCGCCGTACCACACCGAGTCCTCGTTCAACTGCAAGAGCTCGGTGGAAGTTCGCCCATAGACCATGGCACCCATCCGCCCGTTGCCGATTGGTAGAGCCTCAGACCATTCGGAGGCGGGGGACTGGTAGTGGAGACGCGAGGGACTGGGAGATCGGCCCTCGCCGGAGCCGGAGCCGAAGCTTTCTAGACCATGGACGGGGGGCATTTTGCCCTGGAACGACGTGCCGGTATGCCGGTGCCCGGATTAGTCCAGTTCGAGGAACGGTCTGGTCTAGTCGGGGCTCTAAGCTTCTTGGAAGAAGGGGTTGGTTAGGGGAAAGACAAAAACTCTGATGAGCTGGTGATCAGGATCCGTTCTAGCCTTTGAAAGTCCCTCTTTCAAAGACGATGAGAGTCGAGCGGCCCTAGGTGACTTTAACCCCAGACAACCCGCGATCGACCGGGGTAGATGCCTCGGCGTCGTATCATTTGAGGAAAATTGGTTCGGGGAGTGTGGGGTAGCCGGCCGGCCGTTCTTCTCGAGCCAATCATCACGGGTGAAAGCAGCCCGAATATGCTCATTCCGGAGGGATGTAATGGCTGGTCTGATCCAACTGCATGTCTACAGCCGCTCCGGCCAATCATCATCGGACAAAGCCGATGTTGTCTGAGCTGTCGGGTGGATCTTGGGGAAATACAGAGGTTACTCTGAACGCGAATGAAGGCAAATCGGCAGTGATTTTGGACTGGTTCGTGCCTGCAAGGAGCATCTCATGTGAACCACATGGCCAGTTGGAACGTCTGAGAGTCTGGGGATCGCATCCCTCTTCAGGGTTCGAGGCCCAGCTATCGGAAGGCCATTCCGTGTTGCACCAGAAGGGTAGCAGTGCAGGATGAAAGCAGCCACCCTGGGCGTATCTCCCGCTCCCAAAGCTGAGGTTGGGGAAGCTCTATATATCCGCCGAGGCACCGCTGCAACCTGAGATCCCACTGACCCAGAGATTCGGGCTTTTCGTTTGTTCACCAGCGTCTCCCTTTGCCTCCAACCCGACCTGTGGAGACTTCATACGAAACAGTCTTCGCCAAAGCAAGAACGCTTAGCCTACGATGGCGCCCCGAGAAGAGGTTGACCACACGGTCATCTATCACGACGATGTCGCCCAGGCGAACAAGATTGGTGTTGCCGTCGAAGAAGTTGCGGCAACTCGCATCTCGGAGGCCGACATGATGCGCAAGTCGGCCGAAGCCCTTACACTGAAGTCCAAGACTGGCTTGTACATCTTTGGCTACATGGTCGTAATGGGTTGCAATCAGGCAGGGTAAGAATACAGGCCGGGCTAATCTATGTGTTGCGTGAGTACGGGGGATGATGGCGCTGACACAGTCCGTGAATAGTTTCGGTATCGACTGGGGTGTCATCAGCGGCATCAACTCCAACGACCGTTGGCACGACTTCTATGGCTTCCCCAACGCCGGCGTCATAATCTCTACGATTAACGCCCTGATGCAAATTGGTGGCTTCCTGGGCGCTCCCTTCCTTAGCTGCGCCGACGTACTCGGCCGCCGCGGCGTCAACTTCCTCGGCAATGCGCTCGTCATCATCGCCGCTATCATGCAGGCCCTGGCCCCGAACCTGGCTTGTCTTTTCATCGGCCGTCTCGTCCTCGGATTCGGTACCGCCCTTTGCACCGCACCGCAGTACGTTGCCGAGCTCGCGCCAGTCCATCTCCGCGGCCGCCTCGTCGGTGTCTTTGGCGCGTGTTTCCAGGTCGGCTCGCTGATGATGATTGGCATCATGATGGGTTTGACGAACTGGGACAGCGACTGGCAGTGGCGGATGGCCTTCTTCATCCAGGCCATCTTCCCTCTTTTCGTGTGTCTGACGATCTACTTCTTGTGCCCAGAGTCGCCTCGTTTCCTCTACATGCGCGGCAAAAAGGAGGAGGCCCGTCGCGTTGTGGCAAGGTACATGACGACTGACAACGACATCAACCATGAGATTGTCGACCTCATGATCCTCCAGATTGAGGAGTCTATCGAGACTACAAAGGCTGGGTTCCGCGCCACCTGGGATTTCCGTGTCTTCTTCACCAAGGCTGTATGGTTCCGTACTGTTGTCCTGGCTGTCTACGCTGTTTTCCAACAGTGGAATGGGTACGTTGCCGCTCTGAGGCCCCTCGCTCTTGAATACTTCAAATGCTAATACGAACCACCAACAGTGGCGGAATCATCGGTTACTACCTCGCCCCCGCGCTCGACACAATCGGCATCACCTCGCAACTCGACCAGCTCGGCATTAGCCTCGGCTCGACGGCAATCTACTTCGTCTTCACCCTCTTCGGCTCCTGGATCATTGACTACTTCCGCCGTCGCACCCTCATTTTCGCCGGCCTGATCAGCATGATTTGCGCGCAGATAGCCGTCACCATCACGAGCTGGCAGTACAACCTCAGCGAGCAGAAGACGACGGCCATCCTGACGGTTGTCTGGATCTACCTCTTCCAGGTCTGCAGCGCCACCTTCATTGCGACCATGCATAACCTATACCCCGTCGAGCTGCTCTCGTTGCCGCTGCGCGCTAAGGGTATGGGCCTGTTTGCCATGTTCCAGGCCATCGCGGCCGTGGTGCACAACTATGGTATCGGTATTGGTGTTGGGAAGGTTGGGTACAAGATCTGGGCCGTGTACATCGTGTACAACTTTATCCAGATTATTATTAGCTACTACGTCTTCCCTGAGACGAGTAAGCTGAATCTGGAGGAGATTGATACCATTTTCGAGACGCCGGGCGGCAAGCCTGTCAAGTTGAGCATCAAGATTGCCGACGCCAAGCAGGAGAAGAGGAAGCTGGATCGCCAGAATGGGGTGTCCCATCTTTGATGTTGGGGCTGGTGGACGCGCATGACATGAGCTATGAACTCGGATTTAGGTGTTGATCTGGGAAGCGTGTTGTTAATAGTCTGCTCTTTGGCTTCAAAGGGCTTCGATATCCAATTTGATTTATCTTGCATCAAGGACTTTGACGACCATGCTTTGCAAGTCAGTATCTATCAACCAGGTTTTGCCAGTGCCTGACCTTTGCATACCATGGCATCTCCTTCAACTAGAATCATACCTCGCTCAGTGAATGAGACCCCCACGAGCCACTTCCTACTGTCACAAATGTCCGGCGACCGCCCAACACCGAAAGCTCAACCTCCCTCCCCACACACCAAGGACAAAAAGGCAAAAGCGAAACGCATCAGAGCGATGATGAGTTGACAAGAGTGGGATTCGAACCCACGCCAATTACTTGACTAGCACCTGAAGCTAGCGCCTTAGACCGCTCGGCCATCTTGCCTTATGATTCGGTGACGTTTCCGAAGTGGTGAGATGCTAATGGATGACACGGGTGGTAGGAGTGTGTGTGCCCTAGTGTGGAGTCATGTGCATGGTTTTGGTGTTGTGGATTGGTTGGTGGGTCCAGTATGTTGTGGAACTTGGGGACCTTGTTGGTTGCACCTCTTGGATCCGGTGGAGATGAATGAGGTGGTTAAGAGTTGATTGAGTGGTTGTGATATATTTGGGATCTTGAGAGATGAAGTCAGTCGTTTCCATGTTTGGGGTGAAGTACATGTAGGCGAGGGGCCGTAAAGGGAGAAGATGAGACTAGATGCGCCATTGTAAACTGAGATGCCGAACGCGAAATTGACCCAAAAATAGATACGTCAAACCAAGAGATCACATTGTCAAAGCCAACAAGCAAATGTCTGAACTAAATTGTGAAGTCTACCATGGATATCAACCTCTCATCATCGTATCAAGCGTCTAAGAGCACAACCCTCAGAACACATACGGCACGAACCTTGCCGTCGAAGCATGCCACCTCTCCCACTTCTCCCCAAACTCGTCCCTCAACATCCTCTCCTCCTCCCTCACCCTTGTCCACACCCCAAACAAAAACACACAACATGCAGCAGGACCAAGAACCCACTGCACACTCAGTAATCCATGATGCAAACCAGGCGCAACCCAGCAGCTCAGCACGCCGTCAAGTCTAGCCAGCAGCGCGACATTCGAAAGGACGAGCACGATGACGCCCGTGTAGCTCGGGTGCTGGAGGTAGCTATAAATCCCCGTCGTTTTAAGTTGATCCGGCTTCGTGAGCTGAAAGGTAAAGTTCTTGCCTAGGGAGCGATAGGGTCCGAGACGGAGCGGGACGCCGAGGAGGAAGATTGCGGAGAGCGGGAGGAGGGTTGAGGCGGACCAGGTTGTCAGGGAGGCGCTGAGGCCGTTTTCGGCGCCGTGGCGGAGGATGGAGGGCGGGATTTGGGGGAAGTAGAGGGTAAGGGCGGCGAGGTGGAAGGAGAGTAGGGCGAGGGGGAGGAGGATTACTTTTGGGGTGTGTTTGTGGGTGAGGTGCATCCAGCGGATTGAGTCCGCGTGTGTGGTTTGATGGTGATGTTGGTTGTGGTGGTGAGGGTCGTTTCCTGGTGTTTGAGGCGGTTCGGGGTTGGGGTTTAGGAGGCCTATGTAGGTTCCGAGGGTGGAGGCCAAGATTGCGACCGAGAGTGATGTTTGGGTTACAGACATCTTGACGGCGTTGGACTTGGTTTGGAGGTTGGAGATGGTAAGTCGCAACGGTGAAGATGCAGACGAGTCGTAAGAGGAAGATCCGAGGCATGTATCGCGAGACTATTCAATCCCGCGTGACGCTTGTGGGGTGGCAAAAGCACAGGCCAGCTATATCTAGCGGTACTTTGGTTTGGGTGCTTATCGTGCGTGCCGCAAGGTACTCCTGATATCCTTGACTATGTCGTCGGAATTACGTCTGGTTCATGCCTCGAAATTGACCCCCGTAATTCATGCAATTGGTTCTAATTCAGAGGTGGGATCTAACCTTAGTGTGTTTATTGGAAGTCTAGATAAGTCGATGAGAAGGTTGCGGTGATAGACGTGGGAGGACGCCTGATGTTGACCTGCGACCACTTATAGGTAGTGTGGCGACTGTCGGTTTGAATCCTTCGTTGCGACGCTCACTAGACCTCGATAAATAGTGTCGTTTTCTACGACCTTTGTAGTAATCTTGTATGAAACTGTGAGAGAGGGGTTCTGAGTTCTCATACTTTGTCCGCGCCTTGGGTAAACTACATGCATCTCGTGAGGTTTCCGCAAATCCGCCTCAGCATCTTGTGGACAACTCCGCTGAACACCCCTCTGACACAACTCTCAAATACATCTCAAGCCGGGACATCAGCAAAGCTCGACTGATAGAACCCCAGCGCGCCAAGTTGTCGAGGTTTTTTAGAGGATAGTAACCTAGCTCATACACGACTAAAGAACGAATATGAATACAAATGCGAGACTTCTGGTGTGCGTATTGGTTTTGCATGTCATATCTATCATAGTCATGAGCAGCCCCATGCAACTCAAATCGCTCTAAAACCAAGACCAAGTTTACCTCCCACGACCTCTATATGTCTATTTCAGACAGTAGTACATTTCAAATTACATAATTACACCTCTCCCTCAACGACCTTGACCTCTGGACCTTCAATCTGCTTCACCTTCCGGCCTTCCCACCATGACATGAGACCGGCAAGCATAGCGACACCGCATCCCAAGCCGATGAAGGTGCCAGTAGCCCAGGACTGTAGACATCTGTCAGTTCAACTCGAGATAGGGGGTATGATAAGACATCTCGCCCATACGCAGGATCATAGGCAACTTACAGGTCGGTCGAGTCGGTTGTATCCCCACATGAAATAACACAGCACAGCCTGCAAGAACGTATTCCAAACCATCATCCAGATCGTGAACCCCAACTTCCACAGCGGTGTTGGCGGCGCGACCTGTCCAGTAAACGTCTCAGGTGCCTTCTCACCCTGGAGAGCCCACGCAGGCGGCCGGAACCAACTCCTGTTCTGCGCCGCGAGCTTGAGCATCGCCGCCTGGTTCTTGAAGTTGACGGCCCGGATGTACCAGTACAGATCGCGGAAGCGCCAGGGCGCGAGACCGAAGCCCGTTACGCAGAAAAGGGCGTTGAGGATCTGACTGGAGATTTCGAGCCACTTCTTGCGGGGTGAGTTGTCGTCGTCGGCGGTCGGGTAGTTCATTGCTGGAGCGGCTTTGAGGAGGAGGAAGAAGAGCATGGCCTGGTAGTGTGGTCAGTATGGTGTCATTTGAACGATTCACTTATATTAACTTACTCCCCAAGCCTAAGAGACTCATGTTAGCATCTCATTCTCAAAAGAAGTAAATGAGGTGAGGGTGGTACATACGACAATGTTGAGACAGTAGATGGTGATGATGAACCCTGATGGTGTGAGGAAGAACTTCCAGAAAGCCTTCAATCCATTGGCGATTGTCGTCTTCCACGGCGCCTTCTCCTCTGCAGCATGCTTTTGATACAAACTTTGTCGTCGCTGGAACTGTTGACCCTCGCTGGGCAGAAGACTCTCATCATGCGTTCCCGGCCGTGCTTCGTCCGAAGTCTCGTTCAGCACAGCAGGTTCATCCGTTTCCCTAATGTTTTCCGACTTATTGTTAAATACATTTCTCCCACCGGCAGACTGTCCATTAATAGAAAACGTAGACGCGCGCCGGCCCGTGTTAGATCGGATGAGCGCAAGGTCGCCGTGGGGTTCCTGGACGGCGTAGCGCGCCGAGTGGCCCTGCGCAGTGAAGGCGATGTTGTCGCCGCCGGATTCGGGGTCGCGGAGCTCGGTGAGGTTCGGCGCCTGGGCGATTGCTGTGCCGGCGGCCTGCCACATGCCCAATTGCGGGTTCGCGTTTATGATGGAGATGGACGCGCCCCGGACGCGGCCTACGATACCGCCATTGTCGGCGGGCGAGGGCTCGGTCATTGTTGACGGAGATTGTGAGGGTGATGATGATGGGGCTCTTCCTGGCGGTTGCTGCGGTGTCGGATGTCGCGGAACGGCCTCATCAAAAGGTGAGCGGGAGGCCGGTGAGTGAGTCGGGCGTGAGATTGGTGAGATTGCGCTCTCAGCACTCAGTCTGCGTCTGCTCACGGAGGGCAGTCGAGCTGTCGCGACTGTACAATGCAGAGGCGCCTCACAAATCGCGGGAAGTCAGATTGCAAACAATTGTTTATGTCAGATGAAAGAACTTTGGTCCCCTTTTCCACTTCCCAGGAACACCCATCACCATGAAGAGACTGCAAAGAGAAATGTGCCATGCCATCACGTGGGGGCTGAGCGACAGCGAGCTTTCCGCGTATTCCAACCCGACACCCCGACGTGTTGGCCGGAACCCGCGAATAAGTCGAGTCTAGTCAAGTTCAGTCCATTGGGAAAAGTCTAATTTGCTGCCTACTGCCCCTACCAGGCTCTGAATGCCGATACTGGGTTGGCTGAGTGGGCAATTTGGGGTGGGAAAAGCCAAGACACTGCCGTGATTAGCTAGCCCGCATATCTCGCTTTCCCCGTTCCCCCCGAATCCCCGCTGTTTTCTCGCATCCTGATCCGGCTTGGCCAGACTCGCTCTCGTTTGCAATTGAACTTTTGAAGAAGACTTGCCCCGGCAGCGCCGCTGATGCCCTGAGTGAGTCGCGGGACCCTTTTCTCTGTGGTGATGATCTGATCAGGTGGTTGGGCGAATTTGACGCCGTGGTTCCGGCGCTAAACTTCAACGTCATGAGATAAGACTCGTGATGAGAAGCTTCTGTAACGTCAGTGAGATTTCTTTCCATCAATTGAGTTTGTTTACTCTTGGTCTCCGTCACTACAAGGATTTCGGGTGCATGATGTCGGTCGAAGTGAGTTCCGGTCCGCGAGCCCCGGTCAATCAAAGACTACTTGTCCAGGCCCTTTCTCTGCGACGAGTTGCTCTTTTTCTATTAGCCGCCGCCATCCGGTTGCAGCTCATCTAGAAATCGTGGTCTTCGGAACCAGAGGACTATACGTTTCGACACTACTTTTTGACTACCAGCATATGTATTCATTAATAAAACAAGAGCAAGGCCTGTTCAATAATGAAGGACGCGATGGCATAGAAAGAAAAAATCAGCTCTTTGTTCTGACGAAATACTACTGCCGCGCTTCCAACGCGTCCACATCCCGGCACATCAAGTACCAGGCTACGATGGGCACATTTGTGTTCAGTCATTAAAGGAGAGAAAACCTTTTGAATGTCTACCCGCATCGCCATGGATGGGCGTTTTGACCGCCACGATGACCATAATCCAGATGAGTTGAACTAGCCATTGAACAGTTGACATACTCTTAGGGACTGATTCAGCTCCGTGCATGCCAACTGACGACTGCCCAAGACGTTTAGAGCACTGCTTTGTCAGTCCATCCCATGCAAAGACTACGATCTATAAGCACACCGAGCCAATACCACACCAGCACATTTGACACTGGCAGCATACCTTACCACCCAATAGCTATGATGAGCAACACATGATTTACTGCATTGATTCCTTGGTAGAGCTCGAGCTTCGTATCGTGAACGTAAATGCAAGGCCACTTCGGAATCCCAGGGCCCCAGCTTTAATCAAGGAAAATGATGCGTTAGCTTTGTTTTTGGTGTTCATCTATCGCATCATGGGTGGTTGAATCTTACGAATGCACTCAACATCTGTTTACCCATCTTTGTCCATTTGGCCTAACTAACTAGATGCTGATGATGCGACCTGCAGTGCTGACACCCCTTCTATATTCCGTAGCGTAACACCAAAATATGCTGCAAAGGACTCCAGGGACAAACATGACCGTCCTATTTCTCGTGCACATTCGAAAGGAAAGAGTTGTTAACAAGATTGAAATTACACCAAAAGTCTCCATCTGACGAGTCATGATCCCAAGCAAATCATGGGAGCCATGAACACAGACATCAGGACAGAAGACCTTCAGCCGGAGCGCCGTGACATTCGTGATTCGAAGAGCCTTGATCATCCAGTCGATGACGAGCCCGTCCGGGGTGTATCGTTTCCCTTGCTCCCAATTGAGCCTCAAGCCGAGATTTGGTGGCTCACCACTAAAAAGAGACTCATTCACTTGGACCCCACTAAGAATCATAATGCTCCGCCAACTCGCCCTCACGCTGCCGCTTTACAAACCAGGACAGTATGCAAGAGCTTCAGAACCGCCTGCCACGCATGTTGATCGATCGGAATGATGAAATGGGCACTGAGAATATGCCTCGTCAAATTTACTTCAATAAACGGACTGATGTACTTTGTCTGGGATTTTGGACAGAGGATGAGGACAGAGAAATAATTAGGTTTGACAACTTCTCGGTTGGCAGATATTATAGATTGTGATGCCTCCTCAGCTATCTAACGATACCGAGAACGGAATTCGAGAAATTTGCATCTATGGAGATGAATGGCCAGCCCGACAACGCTTCCGAGTTCCCAACTCAGATAAGAAACTTGCTTTGATATTCACCTAGAATCCGCTTCCTTTGGACAAGCTTGTTCATCCAAAAATCGAACCAGTCCATATTACGGCGTTTGGAATGGCAAACGAATATATACCTCATGATTGGGGGAATCACGTTGTTATCCGGTACCTCAAACACCACTCGAAAGATTTGGAAACTGCATACATCAGCAAGGCCGAAGCCCCTGAAAGCGAACGCGACCCATTTTGCAAACAGCTCCGCGATGAAGGTTCAAAGATAAATCGGGAACCTGGAGGCGAATGAAAGGACGTGATGATCCGTAGTGAGATCATCAGGGAGACCGAGGATAGGAACTGGATTGACCTTCTCGACGGAGCCGGGAACAGGAAATGGGAGATAATGTTCGTATCGGTCTGCACCGAACGGCTCTTGGATAGGGAGAAGTATCCAGATTTCAGCGCACCCCAACCTTTAGGTTACTCCCTAGGTCATTGATGAATTCTGAAGTTGTAGATATTTCAGGATACTGCGGGAACACACGCCAGCTCTAGTCATCCAAGTAGGTATTTAGCATCTCGTTCAGTATACCGTGGATTTTTGTATTGATAAGCATCCGCTTTCCGTACAGCGGAAATATGCTGGTCCTTAAGGCATAGGTCTGCTCAAAATGGTCTAAGACAGCTGATAGTTCTGAAATTTGACTAAATATCATCGCCGTAGAAGGCGATAAATAAGAAGAGAAATAGTCGGACGACCCAGTATAGTGTAAGCTACCCGATTTACAGGCGAGTAGTCCTGTTTGCCGATAACTTCGTCATCCATAGATCGAGTTGAATCATTCAGCGATGAAAACGTGCTTGTCAAGCCAGCGTATATTGCAAAGGGAGATATACAAATAGAAGCCAGCTCACTAATTATCGGAACTACCTTAGGTAGTCTAGAGACTAGAACAAGCAAAGGCTTGTTTAGAAAATTGACACAGGTTGAAAGGAGGCTGTTCAAGAGTGATGAACCACAGCCAATGACAGAGGATACATGTGTACTGGGATTCAGGAATGGGGATTATCGTGTAGTTGCTAATTGTAATTATGACTTCAATCGCTGGTAGAGAATACCTGTGTGCAAAGTTCTCCGGCGCGCAACGTCACCGGTTCGAAACATAGGTAACTCGACGCAACCATCATCGAAAGTGTTCATCGACACTGCTTATGCAGACTAAGGTATATTTAAGAGCAGAGATTTGTTTGATACCACTTTTCGCCGGAAGTCATAGGCCTCTGAGTACCTATTAGGTTCACTACCCATGAGCTCATCATCTTCAAGACCGGGTATTGAGCAAAGTAGTACCCGCTTAGTAAGTATATTTAGGATGGGAAAACGTGTGGTTTGAAAGATCCTGACTAGTCTAGATCGAATTTGCCGATGGTGTGGAAAAAGGCCTTCTGAGGGATTCCTACCACCATCTGTACGAGGTTCGAGTCAGGTAGGCCTTGTGTGCTCGTTGCATAATTGACGCGCGTTGGAAACGTCTAACGGGCTGTGCTCTCCCAGACCGTCCAAAGCACCCTCCTTCCCGCCATCAAGGACATTGAGATCAAGGGGCCGCTTTCTTGCAAGCTTCGGATGGTTTAAGCTTTCTTTTGCTGACGATCGTCTCGGGGTCACGGCTATGTCCGAAGATCCATCGCGCCTACAAAAACCGCACCCACCGCTGTACAGTGTTACCGCAAAGCTTAGCTAGATGGTAAGTGTTGACATACACTTTTTTGGGTAGAACGCTACAAAATGTAGCTTCATTCGCTTTCGGATCCTAACTGCATTTGGAATAGTTCCAACGCGTAGGAGTTTCCAACAACCACTGACTTCGTACAGTGTTCTACAGAAGTTTGTGGTTCTCGTGGAGCCTTGACAGAATCTTTGAGTTTCGTGCGGCTGGAAACTCCAAGCTTTGGAACGGGATATTAAAAAACGGCCTCCTCCGCAACTGAGTCTTTTTGCAGCGGCTTTGTGGTTAAAAGACAATTGTGGCCTTCCTTGCTGGTTCCTGACAACCTAGGGTTACGAGTCTTCAATTCTCAAGAAAACAAGGTCAAGATCTGGTGAAGGCTGAATAAAGTCTCTAAGGAACGGAGAGTTCTTAATGAAGTAAATTTCCCATCATCAACACACTTTGTGCATCCCCTAGGTACAGTCGAACTGGCGCCACTGTTTCGGACCCCATATGTTCTACTCAACAGAGCAACCGTTCAGCACTGTGTTCGCAAGGCGAGGGGTACATACACGACAGATCAAGAGTCTTCGAGTGAAGAAGTCTTTGAGTGACCGGAGGCGGGTTGCTGGTGAAAAGGCCGTCGGTTCAGAAATCTGAAACTGACTAACGATGTGACCCTCTACCGCAGAAGGGAAGCTGCGACATCAAGTGGACCCCAACCCAGACAAGTTTCGATCGTGGTGACGCCCGCATCTTTAGCTTTAGGCTATGTTTCGACAATGAACTCGAACGGTTTGCTAGTCAAGTACCAAATGGATCGGTCGGCTGTGTGGTTTATACGGCCGGCCTGCTGCAATACAGACGGGGTCGAAGGTCCTATTACTACCCCCTCGCCCGATGCTCTGCGCGACCTGCTCATCCTTCTCATGTACCTTTGACCCGTTCACTCTCTTCTCTGCTGATAATATTTCTTTAATAATTCAGTGCCCGGGGCACGGACTTGATCTTCGAGATGCTCCTCCTCCTTGTGGCGTCCACAATCATTTCTTTGATTGGCCCGTTTGCTATCGCTTCGGTAGCTGGCTCAATGCAAATAGAGTATAGTAGACATCCACCACCGGGATGGAAACTCTCCCGTCCCGCAGACCCGAATCATCGATTCAGCATATCCATCGCAGCCGATAGAAGCGGTCACGTAGAGCGGGCCCTCTACAGCGTCTCAACTCCGGGACATGAACTTTACGGCAAGCACCTCTCTCGAGAGGAGGCACAAGCCCTCCTTAATCCCGATACAGAGTTGCGAGACGTCATTATAAACTGGCTTCAAGAACATGGGAATGCCACAGCAGCAGACATAGCGAGCGACAGTCACTGGATCAGCGTGCAGACAACGGTGAAGAAGGCGAACAGTCTACTCGATGCAGACTTTGGATGGTTTCGAAACGTTGACAGTGGCAAGGAGGTGCTACGGACGTTGAAGTATTCTTTACCATTGGAGTTGAAAAGCAAGATCTCGTTGATAACACCATCCACGAGGTTCTGTTCTCATCCGATGATGCACCAAGGACCGGCATTGGCGGGACCTCTTGCTGGCGACGCACCAAACGACGAGCTTCGGAAGGTGAAGAGGACGTTGACCGGCCTGAACCCGAAGCTTCTTTATACGGCACAGGTAGACAGGATTACTCCACCCGCCTCGCAAGCACAAGTCGATCCTACGTGCAACAGGACCATCACACCCAACTGCATACGAGCACTGTACAATGTGCCCTCCAAGATGAACGTGAGCGCGGCTCGCGGACTTGGAATCTACGCATCGCAGAATCAGGTAGCCAAATTTGACGACTTCGCCTTGTTCGCCAAGAACGTCGATCAACCGTCAACAGGCGTTAAGTTTTCTTTTCTGAGTATAAATAATGGCACGACCGACCAGGGCCAGAACAAGTTTTCAAATGCCGAGCTTAATTTCGACGTTCAGTACACTGCATCACTTTCCAATCCGGTACCCAATATCGTCACCGCAGTTGCTGGAGACGGACCCATCAAGCTCGAATTAGGTGGCCAGCCCGGGGACACGACGGAACCCTGGCTGATCTGGCTAGACGCGATGCTCAAACTGCCCGACGACAAGCTTCCTCACACAATTACCACCAGTTTTGGCGAGAACGAACAGTCCCTCCCGGATGGCTATGTTCAGCAGATTTGCGACCAGTTCGGTGCTCTCGGAGCTAGAGGCGTTACGATGTTCGCCGCGTCGGGAGACTCTGGGCCGGGTAACACGTGTGTCACCAACGATGGTACTAATAGCACGCGGTTCAACGCCGTGTTCCCTGCGTCGTGCCCTTTCGTTACAGGTGTTGGAGGGGTGAGGGGAATCGCGCCTGAGCGGGCCAGCGATTTTTCGAGTGGTGGGTTCTCGGACAAGTTTGCCAGACCGGCATATCAAGAGCAAGTTGTGCCAGCGTATCTCAAGAACACCATTGGAACCCAGTTCAACGGTCTCTTCAACCCGTCAGGCCGAGGCTTCCCAGACGTCAGTGCCCAGAGCTTCAACCTCAGCTTCGTAACGGGTGGCCAGCTAGGCGGCTTCCAAGGTACCAGTGCCGCCGCTCCTATCTGGGCAGGCATGGTGGGCATGGTCAACGCCGCTCTCATTCAGGCGGGAAAGCCACCAATGGGATTCATCAATCCATGGCTGTATGGCGCTGGGTTGCAAGCCATGAACGACGTCTCTGCTGGACAGTCCGTGGGCTGCACTGGCACAACTGGATTTGGCACGCAGAAATTCCCGCCCGAGTTCGGAGCCAAGCTCGTGCCGAACGCGAGTTGGCCCTCAGTGGCTGGCTGGGACGCTGTCACTGGCTTGGGGAGCCCGGATATTGGCAAAATTTTGGCGCTGAGAATGGCGATGTGATGAGTCTTATTTCAATTCTAGATTACAAACGGTTCGAGGCACAAATTTGATCCAGTCTTAACATACAACTTTTTCGCCCTGTCTCCAACACAAGACGAAGCTCCGCTCACAACCTCGCGTTTTTGACTGCAGTAATCGCGAACGGGTTCGCGGTAAACGTTCCGTTGGGGTCAGCCAGGGCTCTGACTTTTCCAAGTCGTCTGTACTTCTCCTCGTCTTCGTAGTAGCACTTCCAGATCTTCTCGTCACCCAAGTTCCAATCACCATAGGATCCCCAAAGAAGACGTCTGTCCTTCTTGCTGAATGGGCTATCGGGCCCGTTCATAATCTGGTCATTCTTGTCTTGCCATGATTGAGCCAACTTTCTTGACTGTTCATCGGGCTCGTGGAAGCAGTCCAACGTCTGAACAACCGAAGAGTCTCTCCAGCTGTAAGACGTGCCGTTGTCTCTATTGACGAAGAAGCGCGAGTTCTTGCCTCCAAAGCACTGAATCTGGACCGACAGCTTACATCGCATGAAACGCTCGTAATCTTTCTCACCCTCATGCCCCCTGAGGTATTGTTCAGGGTTGTATATGAGGTCAATACGGTCAACCACAGCATCAACCCATTTGTCTTTGGTAAGGCTGGTTGAGTTGGTAGAATAGGTCCGCTTGACATAGGGAAGGTCAAACTCGCGTGCTCTGGGGAAGATCCACTGCCCAGTCATATCCGACATCTCCATGTCGAACTCTCCAAACTGAAGCGAGAAGTCTGCCAACGTGCTCTTGAGCTCCCGGAACTTGCCAAACCAGGCATCGACATTGGCATCATATTTGTCGTTCTTGCTGGTCGGACACCATTGTGCGTACAGAATGATGGACGCTGGGAATCTTCCGTTGAGCAACTTTAGGAAGTCGTCTTCGAGTGCGTTCTTGATGCGGTCTTGAATGCGCTGCCAGACGTTTGCATCCTTGAGCTCCTTGAACAGAGTCGACATGGGGAAGTCTGTGCTGATGACACTGACGCAGAGGTCGAAGCCGCGGGGGAATGTAGGGTCGTCGGCCATTTCAGCAATGGCATTGAGAAGTGTGGTCAGAACTTCCTTGGAGTAGAGCCAGAGGGCCTTGATGCCGTGGGGTCCTTTAAAGCCGTTAGGTCCAGCGACAGTACCAAGGTAGCTGCTGGACTTGTACACCTCAACGATGTAGTGGGTGATGACTCCGAAGTTTCCTGGGCTGCCTCCAAGAACGGCATAGAACATCCCCGGGTTGTTTTTTTTGGTGATGTCGCGGATGACACCATCATGACAAACTATACGGATAGTTCTGATGTTGTCTCCAAAGAGGCCGAAACTACGGCCCAACTGTCCATAACCGCCAGTCTGGCCGTGACCTCCCACCCCGACGTAGGCACACTGGCCAGTAGGGACAAAGAGTTTAGTCTGCTTGAGGTACTTGTTGAGGTCCATCATCGTAATGCTGACACCAATGTAAACAAGTGTGCGGTCGGCTGCAATAGGTTCTTTGGGCTTCAAGATCATCAGATCCTTGTAGGTGTTGCCCAAATCGATCTGGATATTCTTGCCGCTTGTGGACGAGGCTCCGCTGTATTGGTGGCCTCCACTCTTTACGGCGACGGCGACCTTGTTCTTCCTAGCCCAATTGACCGCTCTAATGACATCTTGGTCATTCTGTGGTCGCACAATGAGATCAGGGTTCATGTCGTGCTCTTTCTGATACGTCGAGGTCGCATATTGCTGGTTGAAGAAAGCATATTCCTGCATCTCAGACTCGTCTCCCACTCTAGAGTATTGCATACCCTCGAAATCCTCGATGCGAACCATGGTTGAGATTTCTAGAAAGAGGAATGAATATGGATTTAAGAAGTGTCTCCCGGAAATGTAGAGTTGCAAAGTATTCAGCAGAAGGAGGGCAGCCGATGGTCAATAAATAATACTCAGATTTTATCACATGCAAGGCCCCCATCTACACAGAAGCCCCCAAAGTAGGCTGCATCGTGCTCAGCCGCAGATTTCTCTACAACCGGGCAAATCTGTGCAACAGTTCGTCGTTGGTTGTAGGCTTTCTAGGCGAACGGCAGAAGCTGATTGGTGTGATCAAAGACAAGATGGTCAGCAGTCTGACGCCGAGTTCTAGCACCAAGCCAGACAGCCTACCCAGCCAGCCTTGATAGCCTTCAACATTGACAAGAGCAATAACTGAAACCAGGTTGGCCCTCGGAGTGGCTGACTATCACAGCGGCTGACGCTGCATACTTGTCTAGGGGCCGGGCCGCGTAGGTGCGTTTACGAGCGTGTTCGATAGAGCCATGGCGTGGAGTTGGCATAAGACACGCTAACCTGATCCGAACATATCTGATGTTTTTGGCCAGCGGCTTAAATCTACCAACTATGTCCACTTTTTGATGGCTTACCAGGCATCACTTCGGGTATGCCGCATTCCCGCTTACTGGCCAATGCTGTGCTGACGCTGACAAGGCGACCCAAGTAAGGCGTCTGCTGGGCTTTTTTGCGAGCTGCTGTTTTCAGGGGAATCAAATGGCTTGCAGAAATAAGGGTTCCAACAGGGTCTTGGCTAGAACCGACCGCACAACTGAAAGCCTGGTTGGTTGAATGTTTCGAAATCTGTGAACGTCATGTGTTTGCAACATCAGTTTCTGCTTCTCTTTGATCTTGAAGTTTTGGGTGCCTGTATCCTTTCGTTCTTCCTTAGCTCTTTTGATGAACGTGTGGTGAATCCTGAATGTCACCAAAAGATCCAGATCGTTGTACCTACCTTATGAGAGAGGCATTTGTAATTTTGAGTCCTTGGCTTGATAGCTGGGTCAATTGCCCCAACACGATTCGAGGTCAGGAACAAAATCCCTGCATGATACTCAAGTGTACGGAGGAACACACTCGTCACAACATTGCGGTGGATATTGCCTCGAACTCTCTTTGCAAGAAAGATGCCGGCCTCGTCCGTAATCCTGCTGAAAATGGTGATCATAACAATTTCCCCTTGAAAATGATGCTAATGCACGCCGAGTTCCATGAATGTCAGGATTCCGTCATCAATACTACGGGCCACTCGTGATGACATATGGTAGGTCTGTCTGATACATGAAAAGGGGAGAGATTCCATTGGGTAATTGAACCACAACATGCCCACAGTCTTGACATCCTCTTTGTGAGACTTGTTCACGAAGTCTGATGAGTTGACACTGTGGACCCATCTTTTGATGCGTTCCCAAACATTCAATGATGTCCTAGGAGCTCTGTGATCCCTTGCGATGGGATTGAACATACATGTCTTGATCAAGTCAGTTCCTGTCGGATTGGAAGTCCAATTCGACCTCGAGGCAAGGGGCCCGCGCAGGGGCCACTTACAGACCATACTTACGAGATCTACGGTCTACCCAACCTCCGGTTAGAACCTCCTTTTTACACCTTACGCAGAAGTTAAATATATATAGATTTTGACCTCTTCGTCACCCACGGTTCGAACCATCCCTGTGATAGGAATACCAACAGTTCCTTTATTATCCGGGTGACTTGGTCTTCTCTGCTTCACCTTCCCCTACTCATTTTTCTCTGCCTTCCTCTACCGCATTATCTCATTTTTACCTACCTTACCTACATGCATTCACCACTATTTGCTCTTGCCATTCTCCATTCATCATTCAAGTTTACACACCCCCCTTCACGATGTGATCTTCTCTGTTCGCATGATTTTTTCTTTCGCATAATCTCTTCTTGACTCTACTTGGTCTAGATCCGAAGAAGGTTTGGACTTTTGGCGTACATAAATACACACCATTTCCTCGCACTCTAGAGTCCTAAACAACCTCAAACACACGCAATACCGCAGCCAAAATCGATCTCGTTGACAACAAAAGATCGCATGTAATATATCACATCACCTATTCCAGCTTTCGCCATGGCAAACGCAGTCAACAAAAAGACCCACATGACCACAGGGGACATGGACCAACTTGAAAAGTCGGGAAACGAAATGGAAAAAATCCACCAAATCCTCAACGATGACCTCTCGCCATGGAATCAGAAAAGCCTTCGATAACGACCTCTGGCAAGGAATCAGTGAAGAACAAAAGCAAAAAGCATTCATCTTAAAGCAAGAAGTACTTGACAAATCTCTGTTCAAGACAAAAACAAGGGGCGGCTTGGTTATCGTCAACTTTGGAGAAGACCCCAAAAGCAATCCCGAATACTTCGAAACACAAACGGCCAAACTCAGGACGGGAAAAAGCTCGCCAATGGCCCACCTGGTTGCGGACTGGGAGAGCACGGAAATTGATACACATAAACACAGCGTCAACACAATCAAATGGTTCTGCTCGGTCCCTTATACAAACCCAGAGAATGAGGAGGAAAGAAAGATTCAGGAATATCCCAGAGGAATGATGTGTAGCCTTCTCAATCAGCTTCTGCGGGTGATTTCTGATGAGTTTCCCGAATTCAACCTATCAGGATCATTCTTGGACGACAAAGACTTTGCTGATCGTCTCAAAAATCGAGAAATCAAAGCTTTATGGGGGGTGTTCAGTTGCCTAGTGGTCCAGCTCCCCTGGGGGGCTGATGTGATGTGTGTGATCGACAAGATCACCACGTACGAGACCAGTGATCTTGAAGAAGATCTGGATTTCATTATCGGTCAGTTAACGAAAATGGCAATAAGACATTGGGGGGGGGGGGGGGGGGGGGAGGCCAGTCGCGTTGAAGTTCACTGTCACGTGCCAGTCAACTGCTAAGGGGGTTCGTAAGCACTTAGAGGATTCCAAGTACTCAAAGTTCAACATCATTGACGGGTAGATTGCCAATGCAGGCGGTCGGGCGCGATTGACGGCTTGGTACTACATACTGTAGTACCTTGAAAGTGTGTCTTGTGTCCACACTAGTAGTATCTACTTTCTAGTTAGCAAGGGTGGAAAATAGATTTTTCGTATATCTCTACTCATGGCAACAAAGCATCAGGTATTAATGATCTAAGAAGTAAACAAAGTGTATTTAGAAGCTTTGTAGATACCGAACCGCCCTCCTTTTACTATAATTCTGCTGCCTAAGTCAGTTTAATGACTTTGGTCAGCCTCTTCCTCTTCTTCTTCCAGAGACTGAAGCTACCAAACATGGTTCCTCTTCCAAGTAGCAAGGTTTGAAAATTGCGATGGAAGTATGTGGATCTTGCGATATTAAACACCCATCTTCAAACAAGATAGTCCTGTACATGTAAGCTTGCATCACATCGGGATTACCTCGAGCCCAAATTGAACAGCACAGAGTAGGTATAGTCACGAGGTGATTCATGATCGTTCTTAATTGGCCTTCTAAGGTGGGTAACAAAGTAACCCGTCGCTTAATCCTTCATCGCTCCTGTTGTAATCACTACAAAAGGCGCTATTGCATCGTTTCCATTTTACGCAAGGCAATCTTTTACTCGTTGATTACTTGTCAAACGTGGCTCGGAAGACATTGAAAATGACATATATGATAGTAGTATAATACTGGGGGCTGTACGGACGGGCCCGAAAGGGATGCCCATTGATTGACCGGCATCATATCCTATCCACCGGACCTGCCCCTCAACGTCACTGATGAATCTGGATTTTGGCAGCGGATGCGGATCTATCAGCCAAAGCTCTCATGTCAGCCGAGAATCAAGTCTGTCATTACCCATGGTTGGCCGCGGTTACAAGGAGGCGTGATGAATAGCCACGTCACCCAATATCACTGTGAGATACCAGGCAATGTGATAACCCAGTGAGAAGTCTTATATATACTGTTTCAGCTGGTACTTAAGTTTTGAATTTTGGAAGAAATCCATTCCACTTGAACTTCAAGGTCTTCTAGCTGATCTTCGTTTCCGAAGTCGCGCTTGGCAAACTTGGTAAATGTTCCTTTGTCCAATCTTCAGAATATAGAGGCGAGGGCCGGGCGAGGTCATGTGGGAGCCCCTGCAATCCTGTGATCCCCTTTGCATGAGACTGAACACGTTTCTTTGAGGTAAGTACTCGGTTTGTGGACATTCTCTGTTTGGCCCTGCCATGATGCCACTCTCTGTTCAGGGTTCTTTGTTCGTGCCACTCTCTTCGCTCATTTCTGAGACTCTGTTCAGCCTCCTTGATTTGAAGGTCTTGGCGTTATCTACACTGTGCTGGAACTTTTTCATAAATAAGCAGACGATACTAATCCTGGTAGACTGATGTGGTAACCTACACACCTCTCACATCTCATTTCCTCTCGCTTTCTGAGAAGTACAGACCACGACCGACGCAAAACCTCGCACATCTTGATCTATGACTTAAGCTTACTCGGCCTTATGGATGAGCTTACAACATGGGAGACAAATCCAAAGAGTACGATAGGTACGATTTAATGGTCGAACAAGCGAAGTTTCACCAGAACGATTGTTCTCGTGTAATGAATCCCCATGACGTGGCACCCGAAACCTGTTCAATTTCATATTTTAATATGGAAGACGTGAATGACGCCTTGCCTCGGGAACCAGAGGATTTAGAAATGGCAGACTCTGGAACAAAAGCAATAGCCCGGGCGATACAATTGAAAAATGTATCGTTGGCGGAAGAAATGCTCTGGCATCTTGCGTACAACAGCGACGCTGTCCAGATCGTGGCTGATAGGCTCTTCCAAACTCATACAGTGTTGACCGAAAACCAAAAAGAAACCCTTCGTATCATCAAAGGCACCGACCAGTATACGTCATTCACCGACATAAAACTCAAGGCAACCTGTCGTCTTCTCATCAATGCTAGAGAAGGCCAGAACAATAATGTCGCAACGACTAGCTATTTGGCTGCTACAATAATGAATAAGCAAGCATACAAAGAGGATACCTCAACTTTCATCATCGGCTGGTTCTGCGCTCATAATGCCGGATTACGTATTCAGAGGGACGGCTCTGATCCGGTCGAATGCCTTTCCAGAGGAATGATGGCCAGCCTTTTGTGTCAGCTTCTACACTGGATGGTGTACAGGGAGATTGACTGCGATCTGTCGTTCATTAGCGGTCCCGATTGGGACAGCATTAAACAATTCGAACTGGTGGTTTTGAGCAAAGTATTTACCACACTAGTTACACAGTTGCCTGAAGGAAGTCAGATAATTTGCTTCATCGACGAAATCCATCATTACGAGGAGAAGGATACAGATGATGCGTATAGGGCAATCAAAGGACTGGTGGCACTTACCAATAGCGTCGGACCGTTGAAGGGACCTCGATATTTCAAACTCCTTCTGACTTGTAAGGACGAAGCTCTCGGGATCAAGGGGCTTTTTGAAGGCAAAACCCAAAGTATGGAATTTCCACAGGAAGCATAACATTTTAAACCACTCTGTCTGTACTATCTTGGTTCATCTGGCGCAAAAGGCGCCGGTGGCAATTTATACAATTTATAGCCCTGTAAATGTTGAGATATGATATATCAGGGACACAAGTCACATTATTGCACTGATCAAATGGAAATGTTGATCACGGGAACATTACGAGACACATGCATAGTGAAGAACGAAAACTTTATGTGCCACCCGAATACGTTTCTAAGTAGCCGTAGTGACTTCTGTTCCCTAAACCTCCCTATGATTGGTTCCAAAACGCGCTGAGAAGTGACCACACTGATGCATGGTTATACCCTTGGGTTGCGAACCTCGAACTCTCGTATATCTCTCAAGCTGAGATGTGAGTGATCAAGGCAGACCTTTGAGATCATTTAGCAACGGTCCCAGCGACCGACGACGGTCCAGTTGTCCTTGTGGAAGGCACGACCGCTGACGAGAATGCCAACACCGCGGTAGCACTTGTTGATGACATGGTAGGCACCATCGGAGATCTCCTTAAAGGAGTTGATGGTCTTGGCCTTGCTGTCCTGTGTTGTTCCCGTACCGTCAGTCTTGTTCTTTATATTATGAGGTACTGGAAGGAAGCATCTACTTACCATGTTGCACCAGTAGATAGCAGCGTTCCAGCTGCAGCTGACACGGCCGCAGCTGCCGGGGCCAGGGCCACGGGTGGGCTTACCCTGAACGTCGAGGAGGTAGCGGGCACCCTGGGCGAGGCGCTTGCGGTCGGCATCGTCGTAGCCGGCGCAGTTGACGGGAGCGTCCTTGAAGACGTCGTCGGCCTGAGTGACAGCGGACTCAATGGCAGCATCGATGGCCTCGGTGAAGGAGAGGGTGGTAATACCGAAGTCCTGGTCGTAGTTGGGGTTGATGATGCGAAGCTCCTTAAGGACCTCCTCGACGGTGCCGGTGAGGGTGAGGTTCTCACCACCGGGGTGGGCCTGGACCTCCCACTCGACGGTCATGAGGTCGAAGCCCTCGACACCCATGGGATCGTTGGCGTCCTTGTCAACAGCGGCGCCCTGCAATTTTGAGCGTCAGTTGATATTCACAGTTTTTCACAATGAAAAGCATTGCAAATATTTTACCTTAACAGCCATGGCGGCAAGAGAGAGGAGGGAGATGTTTTTAATCTGCATGTTGACGGTTGGAGTGTGAGGGATTGTGTGTGAGGTAGTAGTGATGTCTGTTGTGGTGAAGTTGAAGTGTCTGTAGCGGTGGAGTTGGAGGTGGATGGAAAGGGAAGAAGGCTCATTTTTGCGGTACAAGGTGTGATATTTTATACTGCTCTGGTAAGTATTCGAGCGACCGCCTCAGTATTCACAGAACGACCTCACGATTCCCTCTACCTTTTGGCATTGGGCCCTCTGTAGTCCCATCCACCCATCGCAGCAAAGCAATCGCGTGAAGTTCAGTCCCATATCCAGCTTTTCGTCGTCAACAAAGGAAGGAGATGTCTGTAAGGGTCGATTGCGGCTTCCGATTGAGAATTTCTGAACAATGGCCAAGGAAATAATTTGGTGGACACAGCATCGTTACTCAAGGTATTCCACATCACGATAGGAAGGCAAGTGCATTCATATCCATCATCCAAGACCTGCTGTCGTGTGTATATGGACCACGGACTCACAGACGTCTTTGACTGATGCCTTTATCAAACTAGCCAAGTCCGCCCAGGTGGTCTAGGATACCTTGACCACGTGATGCATGTCCGAGAGCGCTGGTGGTGATACCACACTACCTCATATCTACAAGCCATGTAAACTCATTTACAAACTCGTGTTATCTTATAAAGTTAAAGGTGTATCAATTCAAATCTGATCAGGGGCTCACTCAATCCCATATTTCAGCTGTTTGCCCTTAGACATAGTATTGTAATGAACGTGACATCTGAACTAATGTGATACATGGTCGATATATGTAGGCTGGGAGGATCTTGTAAATTACTATTTCATTCTTCGGCCAAATTAGAGCTAGCAGATAGAAAACAGAGACCTGTCAACGAGAAGAGAAATCAAGGAAACACGGTGGGTCCGATCATGATCTAAGGTGGCAGTCAGGACTCCTTAGCCCACTGCTTTCCACTCCAGAGGTTTCCCGTTGTCCACAACCAATAATCACGGCCCTTGATCACCCACACCATGAAGCTGGGTAGCTGATATCCCATGGCAGCACCGACCCCTTTGCTCTTTCCCACAGGAACCAACTGAGTCTCGCGGACGTCTTCCTCAAACAATCTGTCCTTGCCAGTAGCGCTCTCCGGCTTTGCAGAAGCTGTGAGGAGGTCACGCTTGATGTTGGCACACATGACCGGGACGGCGCTAAGGATGCTGTGTATCGCTGGTCTGGCGTAGGAAGATGCGTCGCCGACGGCATAGACGCGTGGCCCAGCTGTATCAACGCGAAGGGTGAGCGGGTTGGTGCTTACTCTGCCATCAGGGAGCAAGAGAGTCTCGCTGATGAAGCTTGTGTTCGGTCTTGTACCAGTCGCGAGGATGTAGAGATCGGCATCAATCGTCTTCCCACTATCCAGAGTGACCCTCGCACTTGCCGCGACTCCTGTGATACCAGCTTCAGCTGGTACTACATCACTGACCCGAACGCCTTTGAGAATCGTGACACCAACTTGAGCAAGATAGCCCTCTGCCTTGCGGGCGATAGCAGGACGAAGTGCCGGAAGGATTTCAGGTGCAGATGAGACCAAGGTGATGGAAACTTTGGGGCTGAATGATTTCCGGCCGTTCAGGTATTCACCCAGCTCACCGGCAGTCTCGACACCCGCTGGTCCTCCGCCTACGATGACGATATTCTTGGCTTGCGGCAAGGCTTTGCGAAATTCGGCCCAGCCCTGTCTCAGACTTTCAGAGTCGCTGCTGAGGCCGAGGAGAGGTGAAGATGAAGACGCACCTGTCGCAATCACTAGGGCGTGGTAGGGAAGAGCGACCGGGGTGCCGTTGCCTTTCGGGGTGATGGAGACCGTTCGTCCATCATGATTGAGACTTGTCGCGGTTCCCTGAACAAAATCGAAGATCGCATTGTCGTACTGCTTGAAAATGCTGGGTATATCGACAAAGAGCTTGTCTTGGGGAAACATGTCGTCGGATATGAGTGCTCGAGGGCATGCAGGTCGGCACATGACTTGGGCTGAGGGACTGACGAGGACGACCTTGTACCTCACGGTATCTGTCAGGACTGGTATGGCATGCTTGAGAAGATAATGAGCTGTAGATACACCTCCATAAGATCCACCAAGGATGACAATGAGTTTCGTTGATGGTACGGTGGTTGGGAGTTCCATCATGAGTTAGAGTACCAAGGATTGCGGTCGATTGTACACATGCTGTGTGGATGCATGGTGATATTATATACTCTGAACACATCGCACTCACTCTACAGTAGACTAGCCTTTTGGACTTACACGAGCTCAATACAGTCTGTCGCGGACCATCGCGGCCGGATGAACACAGCTTAGTACGCTTAGGTAATATTGGTTTGTGGCGGTGGCTTGTTGGGAAGGATTTCGTAGCTTGTTCTTCGGCCGAATTGCGGACGTACACTCACCTCGTACCTTATGCTGGGATTCCTTTCCATCTACACAATTCGAAAAAGGTTCCATGTCATCAAATTTACGCATGCTTACGGTGATGCCTCGATGCTAGCAGTGTTCGCGGTTGTGTGGAGTTGAGATAGACGCAAGTGAGGTGAGTGAGGAAAGACGGAAAGTAAAGCCTTACGGAGGAGGACTGATCTGGATAGCACTTCGGCCGAATTGTGACCCGGCCGAGACACAGAAGCAGTTAGACATCCTCTGCTGAGTGTATAAGTGCGCGGCGGCCACTTCACAAAATCCAGCTGCGCTTATGCACTCTCTCGAGTCAGATATCTACTTCTTGAGCTTGCTGGAGAGCCCACGTGTCTCGGATGAAGCAAAGACTCGGGGAACGCCGAGTGACGGGGATTCGAGGTCGGCTCGGGATGACATAATGACAACTGAAAATGGCCCGACCGGCAGCGTCAGAAAATTTCTAGAATGACAAAAAAAAACAAAAAAAAAACAGAAACTTCACCGGCCGGGTGTTTTTAGCTACCTTACGTAAGGAGAAGAGACAAGCGTGCCTTCGGGTGTAGTTATCGCGTGGGGCTCTTTACCGCCGTTCGCCGCAAAGCCGCTGCAAGGCCCGGACCCTGAAGTGTCTTGGGTGTGTTGCTGTGTCGCATTGTCGCGGGGCTCTCAGGTCACTTTTGAGTGCTGCTGCGGCACTAAACAGCGTTTAAGGTACCTGTACGGAGTATGGTCAAATACCTTGGGAAAGGTACCTTCCATACCAGGAGGGGTGGAAAAGTGACCATTTTTGGTAGGTGGGCGGATATCTTCGGCGTTGGCGGGGTCATTTTTCACTCCCGCTTCCTGTCTCTCTCCCTCGCTCCGTCTCAATTCTCGCACCATCCCACCACGACGATTGCGTTTCTCTTTTCCTACCACTTGCATATCTATAGTCTGTGGACTGACTTTCATTCTCACACTCCTCTTTTCCTTCTCTCTTCCTTCCCCTTTACGCCTGTCTACCACACCTCCCTCCTTAACAACCACCCACGATAACACCCACCCTAATCGCAATCATGGGAGACGCCAGTGCCATTAACGCCACTCGCGTGGCCGTCACCGCACAGTCGGCTACCGAGCTCATCGGCAACACGCCCCTCGTCCGCCTCAACAAGATCCCCCAGAGCCTGGGAATCGAGTGCGAGGTCTACGCAAAGGTCGAGCTCTTCAATGCCGGTGGTAGTGTCAAGGACAGAATCGCCCTGCGCATGATTGAGGAGGCCGAGCGAACTGGCCGCATCAAGCCTGGTGACACCCTCATCGAGCCCACCAGTGGTAACACGTACGTTTACCCGCCACGACGACAAACCTCAGAAGCAATCTCATACTGACATTCGATAGTGGTATCGGTCTGGCCCTCGTCGGCGCCATCAAGGGCTACAAGACAATCATCACTCTCCCCGAAAAGATGTCAGCCGAAAAGGTCTCCGTCCTCCGTGCCCTCGGCGCCACCATCATCCGCACCCCGACCCAAGCCGCCTGGGACAGCCCCGAGTCGCACATTGGTGTTGCCCGCCGTCTCGAGAAGGAGATCCCCAACGCCCACATCCTCGACCAGTACGGCAACCTCGACAACCCGCTCGCCCACGAGTTCGGCACCGCCGAGGAGATCTGGGCCCAGACGGGCGGTAAGATCGATGCTCTCGTCGCCGGCGCCGGCACGGGAGGTACCATTTCTGGCATCGCTCGCGGCCTGAAGAAACACAACAAGGACGTCAAGATTATCGCAGCCGACCCCCACGGCAGTATCCTCGCCCTGCCCGAATCCCTGAACAAGGAGCACGAGAACGAGGGCTACAAGGTCGAGGGCATCGGCTACGATTTCATCCCCGATGTCCTCTCTCGCAACCTCGTCGACAAGTGGTACAAGACTGAGGACCGCGAGTCCTTCCAGCTCGCAAGACGCCTCATTGCTGAGGAGGGTCTCCTCGTAGGCGGCAGCTCCGGCTCCGCCATGGCCGCCATGGTCCGCGCCGTCAAAGACCTCGGTCTCGGAAAGGGCCAGACCGTTGTCGTTGTTCTCCCCGATAGCATCCGCTCATACCTCTCCAAGTTCGCCGACGACGACTGGCTCGCAGCAAACGACCTCCTTCCCGAGGTCAACGGCCTCGAGACTCAAGCCACCGACAACGGCGCCACTACCAGCGCAAAGGGCGGTATCGACCCCTACGAGGGTGCCACCGTCAGCGCTCTCCGCCTCAAGCCCGTCATGTCCGTCCCCGCGACGAGCCCCTGCTCCGAAGCGTCCGAGATCATGCGCGACAAGGGCTTCGACCAGCTCCCCGTCCTCTCCGCGAGTGGCCACAAGCTCGTCGGCCTGGTTACTCTCGGCAACCTGCTCAGCTACATCTCCTCGGGCCGCGCTACGGGCTCCAGCCCCGTCAGTGACGTCATGTTTGACTTTGGCCGCTTCGATGAGGTCGTCACGGATCCCAGACAGGCTGGCGAGACTGGCGAGGCGAGCAAGAAGAAGCGCAACTTTGTCGAGATTACCCTTGACACCCCTCTCTCGACCCTCAGCAAGTTCCTTGAGTGGAACAGCGCTGCTGTCGTCACCGAGAAGGCTGAGGGCACCAAGAACCTGTCCAAGCCCGTGGCTGTCGTCACAAAGGTCGATCTGCTCACCTGGGTTGTCAACAAGAAGGCTTAAATGCCTTACCCCTTTTCCTCATTCTCCACGACATAATTAAAAATAACGAATTGGTCCATGAATAGAGTATCAAGACTATGCATGCGGATGATGTTGCTTTTTTCCTGGGTATCGGCGTTTTGAAAGCGGGCATAGCAAAGGTGGCAGGGGCAAATCTTGGGTCGCATCAACTGACCCCGGTTGGCAGCATTTGCTTGGAAATCTTGGGATGGGAGTAGACTCAACATCTACATAGAGAACAGGGCAGCCAGTCTGGTCCTATAAGGATAGAATCACAACCACACAATTTTTGCGCATCACATCAACATACAATAACTTATTCATCATCGAACTATTATGTGCCTTTATTATTAAGTGCCCCCCCTGCTGCGATACTCACTACCTTATATCCGCTGGGCGATCCAAGACCACCACTTATCGGGGCCCGTCGCGCTTCCAGTAACATTGCCCGCGATAACGTCCACATCCACATCAAATTCGCGCAGCTGATCAAAGGTAAACTTCTCCGTGCCATACGCGCCTAACCAATCATCATTCTCCTCCGAACCAACATCGTCAATGCCGACACCGGAGTCCAATAGGCCCTTGCTGCGCGACGACCGTATCCGCGTAATTTCAGCCTCGAGGTTCGACTTGACCAGCGCGCCAGGCAGCGCCGTGAACAGATCCGTCTTGTTGGCGGCAACGAGGACGGGGATAGGCGGGGGCGGCTTAGACGACTTGCTTGACGCGGCGCGCTTCTGCAGGCCGAGGAGGACTTCGTACAGGTAGCTCGCCGTGGGCGCAAGAGCCTCGTTCTCTCCGATAGCGGCAGCGTCGACCATGAAGACGATGGCCTTGAGCTTGGAGTTCTTGCTGCCGCTACCGCCACCGGCACCGCTGGCGAGTTTGCCGAGTGCGTAGTTGCGAAGCTTTCCGTGGCCGGGTGTATCGACGAGGAGGAACTTGGTGTGTGTGCCGCTCGTGTCTTCGTGGTTGCGGAAGCTCTGGGCTGTCTTGCTATCGCGCGAGGCCGTGAGCTCGACGGTCTGGGGCCGCTGGCTCGTGTGGGTTGTCGCGGGGGCGTCGCCTCGTTCGAAGAGGGTGAGGAGGGCGGTCTTGCCTGCGCCGGCGGGGCCGAGGAGGAGGACGGAGGGGAGGGTTGTGTAGGGTGTTGATTTGATGAGGATGTAGTGGAGGAGGATGGGGAAGAGGAGGACGATGGCGGCGCCGATGAGGATTACGGGCGTCGAGGGGGTCATGATGAATTCGAGGAACTCTGTGAAGGAGCCCATCTTGTCGGCCATGATTGCTGTCGCTGTTGCCGTCACTATCGCTGTTTCTGGCGATAGCAAAGCAAAGGATTGAAGAAAGTGTCGGGTTGCTGAGAGTCTGTCCCCTGGTGGTGGGATACCCTGCGCGAAACGGCCGACTAGGGGTGGAGGGGTTGGATGGTGTGAGTCGTGTCGAGTGGTGTGGTCGTTGACAGATTTCCAGAATGAATCGCCAAATACCGTCAGTGGAGCTCTTCCCAACGAAGCGCAAAGATGGCAGGAGTGGCAGGTGGTACGTGCACCTCGGAGATTCAGCCACAAAAGACCCACCTCTACGGACGAGGCTGAGAAGGCCGAGGAATCCGCCCTAAGGTGAGGCTAAGCATGGGTGTCACTGGGTGTCACTGGCAGTTAATGCCAAGCTTTGGGGCCCTGAGTCTTTCCCAGCCAATCACGGCTATCACGGCAGACGACTGCAGTGCTGTTCGACCCGCCTTTGTCAGCTCAGCCTCGCTAGTCCGATTTAGGGGGGAGGGTCTCCCGGCGATCCCCTTCCACACACTGCACTCGGTGCTCACCTCGAATTCCCTAGTCTTCAGCGCTGAGTGTCAACGCTGCCGAGCTCTGCCAAAGGACCCAAAGCTGACGACACGCAATCTCGTCACTCTTGGCTTCCGGCGTCTTTTCCGTCCTCCTTCCAACTGTGGCACCTTTTTTTCTCTCTTTTTGTTTCCACTCTGGTGTTTATCATCAATCTCTCGTTTGTTTGTGACACCCCTGTCCACCGTTGCGCGCGTGCAAGCCCCCCGTCTCAATTCTTTCGCCTGGACCGCATCCATCCCCTTACCTCAAGCAATGCGACGCTAGGTTCGAGCCGAAGTTTAAACTCCCCGAGCAAAACAATACTCTACCCTTTCCCACTGTCACAGCTCTTCCCAATCGATAGACGACCGTCCTCCTCCCCCATCCGAGACATCAAAATAGAGGCTTGGCCCGCGACCGCCGACCCGCCGACTTCGATGGACAAATCTACCACGCCGGCCGCTGCCGCGGCCGCCGCGTCAGTGGCCCCGAATCAACCTGCGAACAAGACGAGCGCCGCCGCGCCCACATTGAATAATGAGCTGGAGATGGGAAGCATCGGCGGCGATGCGCCAAGCGCAGAGAATGACATTATGCAGATTGCGCGAGTAGGAGATGTTCCGGCCATGGAGAAGCTCTTCGAGTCGGGCGAGTACGATGCGACCTTCACTGACGATGAAGGCATCACACCCTTGCATGTACGTTGCATCCTACCTCTTTCAATGCCTTCCGAGCTTTCTCACAAATGTGGCCGATCTCATTGTGCTAATACATCCCAGTGGGCAGCTATAAACAACCAGTATGCCATGTGCAAGTTCCTCATCGACAATGGCGCAGAGATCAACAAGAAGGGAGGCGAGTCCATCGCGACACCTCTCCAATGGGCCGCCCAGAGATGTCACTACTACACCGTCAACTTCCTCCTCCAGCACGGAGCCGACCCTCTCATTACCGACGCCCAGGGCTACAACACCCTCCACATCTCGACCTTCAACGGCAACACCCTCCTCCTCGTCCTGCTGCTACACCAAGGCATCCCCGTAGACGTGCTCGATAGTTACGGTCACACGGCGCTCATGTGGTCCGCCTACAAGGGCTTCCCTCAATGTGTGGACCTCTTCCTCCGCTGGGGCGCTAGCATCCATACCACGGACGAGCAGGGCTTCACCGCCCTGCACTGGGCGTTGGTCAAGGGCTCCCCCGCCTGTATACAGAGGCTTCTCGAGTACGGAGCGGACCGATTCGCGAAGACGCAGACTGGCAAGACACCCGCTGTCACTGCTAAGGAACTTAACACGACCGGCGCATGGCATCGTGCTCTTAAGGAGTGCGGGTATGACGAAGATGGACAGCCGATCGAGCCCAACTTCCCTGGTTCGCGCTTCCTCCGCCAGGATAAGAGGGGCTTCGTGACTAAGTTTCTGTTCTTGTGGCCCTTCCTTTTGGTTTGGTCCATGATTACAATACTAGGAAGCATGAACGTGTTTGCGGGTGTCTTCTTCTCTCTAGTCGTTGGTTATGCGCTTCAATGGTGCGCTCAACAGGTCATCGAGTTCGCGCCCCCCGACATGAGACACTTCCACAAGACTGTAAGTTCTTTTGATGGCTTTGCGATGACCTAGACTGACGTTATTAGCCCTGGCTGGCTGGTATTTTCTCTGCATCCTTGTTCTTAGTTGGTCTGAGGTGGTTGACTACCATCCTCCCCGCGACCACAGGCTCAGCTGGTAAGGTTCATCGGAACCACGATGCTAAATAAGCTGCTGATTTTGACATAGATGGCACTCACTCTCATTGGTGGCTTAACCTCATCTTTGGCGTATTCATCGGTCTATGTGCCTACTTCTATAGCGCTGCGATGCGATACGACCCCGGATTCGTGCCCAAGATGAACGGCATCGCTGAGCAAAAGGCCGTCATTGATGAGCTGCTCAAGGAGTGGAAGTTTGATGAGACAAACTTTTGTGTCACGTGCATGATCCGGACACCTCTTCGCAGTAAGCACTGCAAGCGGTGCCAGAAGTGCGTCGCGAAGCACGACCAGTGAGTAGACCTTTTCATTTCTAAAGAATCTCGCTAACCCGATTAGTCACTGCCCTTGGGTTTATAATTGCGTTGGTATCAACAACCATCGCCACTTCTTCATGTACCTGATCAACTTGACATTGGGCATCATCTCTTATGACTTCCTCGTCTACTACTGTGAGTATTCGTTGTCCGAGCTCTACTTCCGCTCTAACACAATGGCGCAGACTTCACAGATGTCTCCGACAAGGTCTCAGAAACCTGCAACTTCCTTAGCCCCAGCCTCTGCAAGGTTGTCAACGCTGATGGCTACACGGCAATCCTCACCGTGTGGACAACTCTTCAGCTCACCTGGGTTGGCATGTTGTTATTTGTGCAATTTGTCCAAGTCTCTCGAGCAATGACCACCTACGAAAACATGTTCGGCATCCAAGATGGCTCCCTCACCACTGCTTTCACCTCAACAGGCACCCCTCTCGACCCGAATCACCCGTCGCTAACTCCTCCGGAAGCCACCGGCGCTCACGCACATGGCCACAAGCACAAGGGCGGCCGTCTTCAACAATGGTCTCGTCTCCTTGGTGTGGACCCCTTCATCGAGACCATTCGCGGCCGCGGCGCCGCGACCCAGAACAAGCGCAGGAAGAAGAACCCCTACTCCAACGGCTGCATGGCCAACTGCCGTGACTTCTGGTGCGATCCCGCGCCCACGTTTGGCCAGCGCGAGAACGGTTCTGCCATGCTGGGTGGCGAGCCTGTCAACTACACCGCCATGTACGAGAGCCCGACCCTGATGAACATGAGCAGAGGCCGGAGGAGAGCAGGCGGCTACGAGTCCGTTGCTGCAGAGGAGGTATAATAGACTTACTTTTGTCATGATTGGAGGGAGGTGTGCCGGATCAGTTTCACGACTGGTATGGGAGGAAGCTGGGAAGCTGTCACTCCCCACCCCTCCTTTTGCGCGCTTTGTTTTTTTCCAAGCGACGACTTCTATGGAAGAAAGATTACAACGAGGCTTAAGATGATGTTTTTTTAACCCCACAACGAAAGAAAGACGAGGCGTCAACGGGCGGCTGCATGGCTCGGGATGTATTAATTGTTGGTATATGTAGAAGTATGACTTTGGTGTTGAGGAATGGGAGTTGTTTCCCGTGTGTGTAATCTTGATCCAGCTTTAAGCCGTAACTGCTGTCTGACTATGTTCCGACGCTGTCGATTTGTTCTCCTTGATGTTAATCTCACTCGACTTTGTTGGAGACTCCCTTTGGATATTGCAACACCGCCACCACCTTGACTCTGCGCCAATAGAATCAGAGACGTATTAGGCGCAAGGCATATTTTGCTAAGAACAGAAGTCAGCCTCCACCAATCAGACTGCAGCCCGAACAATTGCGCAGCTTCTCAGTTGGATAGGGTGGTCAAAGGCATCTGCAGCCTATCGAATCTGTACCTTGCTCGGGCTAATGTCGAGCCGTAAGCACTACACCCAGAAATATCTATTCAGAGGGGGTATGGATCAGGCAGCACCATTTCCACTACCACGTCCTCCAGCAGTATTCCTATTCCTACCTTGACGACTATCTATTACCATCTTCATCGCTTTTGGGGCCAGCCTTGGCAGTGCCTTTGGTCTAGTCTTTCCTCGGCGTCTGAGAATATGTGATGAGCTTCATGCAAGGACCTTCACAGCAGCGGGGCCTGGAGGCGGTGCTTCGGGCCTCTGCCGCCACCATACCCTCAAGCCTAGCACCCTATGGGAACTTGGATAACCTAGCAGTCTCTCAAATTCCCGGTGTGGTTAATGATAGTAACGAAGGGAGGTTGATCTCTCAATGGTACATCAGCAACCCCCATCAAAGGTCTTGTCCTCTTCTTCGGGTAGTAGACAGTCTACGGATCTTCCGGCTGACCGTCAAACTGCCAGATGGTCCGATCCGGCGAAGAATGCGTACGATAGTGCCATCGCAATCCTGAGAAAAGAGCTTACAGATGAGGAGTACCAACAGCTGCGGCTCCAAAGCCAGCACTCAATGAATGACGTGCAGTCTGCGGTCGAAACAGCGCGACAGGAGTATCAGACAAAGTCAAAAGGATCCAAGATTCAGTCTGCTTTAAGAACCTGCTCATCCAGGATAATGTTCTACGGAGGTGAGTTAACGGAACGTCACTTGAAAAATGTAGGCATATATACTAATAATTCGTGTTCTATTTCAGCAATTTTTGATACTTTCTCTCAACATCATCCTGAATATGTATCTTTAGGCTGGGGCGCCTTGAAGTTCCTCTTCGTTGTGGGTATTGGGACATGCTTTCCATTTCTCAACCTCATTTTAACTAATTCACATAGTCTGTTCTCAACCATGAAGAACTGCTTGTTGAAATATCAAAGGCAGTATCTAGAATCGCACTCGTGCTTCCTAGAGCCGAGCTACACTCTGTGCTTTACCCCACGCCACGCATACAGGACGCTGTCTCACAGCTATACGCAAAGATAATAGAGTTTGCCATAATGGCAATCAAATGGTACAAGAAAGGCAAACTTTCTCACTCGTTCACGGCTATTATCAAGCCATTCAGCCTGGGGTTTAAACCCATTGTCGAAGAGATTGCCGAACAGTCGAAGCATGTAGATGAGCTGGCCAGCGCAGCGGTTAAAGCTGAGATCAGGGATTTGCATGTCAATATCCGCATGCAAAACAAGACTATACTCCAACTGACAGAGATGGTTTCTTGTAAGTTCAGGGCACGGTATGGTGAGTCTTTCTGACTCAAGACTAACGGACTCAAAGTCATGCAGCAACAGCAATCTCTCCAGACACAGTCTCTCCTTGCGTTGAAAGAAGAGCATATACAAATGTTCAGGGTCAGCCAACTTGAGGATATAAGGACAGTCGCGCTACTGGAGGATACGGCAGTAGCAGACGATAGCCTAGCCTGGTGCCGGTCGATGCGAAATCGACGAAGGCAGAAAGCACCCACACAACTCCCTCTACCAGAGTTGTATAAACTAAGAGCCTGGGCGTCTGACCCTTCATCTTCTCTCCTACTTGCGGAAGGACAGGGAGTGAAGACTAGCTCGCTTGATTTTGCAGCTGATTTCCTTGACATAGTTCTTGAGCATGGGTACCCTGTTATCTGGGCGTTGTCTTCCATTGTCACTGAGGTCGATGATAATAGCCTAGTACCCTCGATCACGGGCATCATAAGGTCACTCATATCACAGGCTCTGGTATTGAACGATGCTGTGGTAGTCGAAGGCACTAACCCTCTCACGCCCAAACACTTCAAGTCTGCCGTCACCATATTGCAGTGGTTTGATATACTTCAGCGCTGCGTTTCAACGTTGAAGCGGCTTTTCATTGTTTTGGACATGAACGCCATTGAAGCTGCTTTGGAACAAACAGAAGCTGAGGATCAACTTTTCAGGATTAGTGACTTCATGGAACGGATCACACGGGTTTGTCAATCAGGAGGTGGAACTGTCAAAGTCATCATTGTCTCGTGGAAGTTTGGTGCGGATACATTCATAGATGCCGAAACCTTTTCTGACGACAGGCATCTGTTCACTGATAGGGGGCGAAAAACTGAGAGGCTGATGAAACAACCCAGGTTTAGAGCCGCGTTCAAAAGAAAACACCAAATCTTTAGGGATAAGTTCAGATCTTCAATTGCTGTAGGGGAGGAAAATTAAGAACTATGATCTGCAATAGCTATTCGACCCGATTTTGCATGGGACTGCATTGTGTCTAGCAAGATTAGCACGTGTAAGCTGTCAGATCAGCGCAGATGGCAGATTTTGTGACACTTTGCTTGGTTGTGGGTAATGTCCACTCGTTTGGCACCCGGCAGATCGCCCCAACGCGACTTCATTGGACTAACGCAATGAGCTGTATGATTTAATCTCACTCTTGTCTCAGTGGACAAACTTGGCGTGCGGTGAGGCAGTCATCGTCTGACAAAGTCACGTGTGTCAGGGTGAGGGGAAGGTTGCCTGCCAGCCTGATTGATCATGGGGATGTGGGCGCTCAACCCGCCATTCCAGTTCCTCCCCCAGGAATATCAGCCGGTCTCGAGTTCCACTCTATCACAATAAGACTTACCAATACCCTCTGGGGTTCTCTGTTCAGTTTGTATAGTATCATGCTCAGGCATCATACATAAGCCATGTCGTTTCCATCAGATACATCCCGCTTTCCAACAATTGGAGAGCCTGGCCAAGACCGGCCGGCAAGCCCATCAGCTAGGGGGTACTCGACCTCAGTTGGAAATCACTCGCATTCGGGTCCTGGCACGGATACACGCGAGGAAAAGCAGGAAGTTTCGCAGGATGCTGCTAGACTATTCATCAGCTCAACCATTTCACGGGACGAGACTCTGAGTCAAGCCCGGCAAAAACAAAGGATACTATCAAACCTTAAGGATCAATTAACATCTGGAAGTAAGTTCCTCTAATATTGCCTCCAAAACTCTGGGTGCTTGCTGAAACTCTATCTCAAGGTCTTCAACTCAACAGTTCTAGAAGGTTACATAGCCACTCACCACTTGAGCAGCCTGAGCGTGGTAGGATGCCACAGAACATGGTCGGTATTCCGCCAGAGTTCCCTCCTTCCCGGGCTCCTATTATAATATCACCCAGATCGCGTTCATCTTCCAGATCACCACGTTCCAGATCCCCTCCATCCAAGGCATCGAAGGACACAAAATGGCGGAAAATGCTAAGATCTGAAAGGGAGATGTCTTCGGATGAACTTCCGAAAGAGGAGAATGTGGGACAAGTCGAGCAACTAAGCAGCAATAACCGTTTCCGTGGCGATGAGAAGGGAAACGTGTTTGACCAACTAGCCCCCGAAGAAGAGAGAAGCCCCAACCAGGGTGTCAGCCTTGCCGAGACTCTCGCCTCGATGACAGAGAAGCATCTCGGCATTGACGTCCTGGATCAAAGCAGAGAGATATCTAACTTCGTGTCATATCTTCTTGACACGATCCAGATTCTGCAGAGTCAAGCAGACTGTCGCGATGCTGATAGCTCCGGGAGTGACTCTGGTAGTGACTTGCAAGATGAAGAGTTGGTTATCAGCAAACCTTTCGGTTATCAAGTTGTTCATCGAATTTTGTGTTCAGCAATTCTTCATAATCACGACGGGACACTGGGTGAAAATGAACCAGTGAATCGAAAGAGCAGGGCATCTCGCAACATGAAATGGCTTCACGCCGAAAAGGAGATCCTCAATCTCCACACATGGCTAATTAAACGGCCATCGCTTTGCTTCATTGTCATCAAAGAGCATCGCTGCGCTCAAGATCAGAGGGCCGAAATTCAAAGATTTAGAGACCGAAATCACGTTACCCCCTCAGGCAGGCAAGAGAAACTCAGAGTTGTGTCACCCGAGCTCCTCAAGGCTTTGAGGCAGGTTGCAGAGTTTCAAATCTACCGTGACAGTGAGCTTGGGCCTGTGCCAGAAATGGAGGCCCCGTACCTATTTCTGTTCCATCACCGAAGAAAGCTAGAGGCACTAGCAGAAACCGGGTCATTTCAAGAGGTTATTTTGCCTTTGATGGGATTTCTCAAGCAACATTACGAGGCTGAATATACGGAGGCCGAGGAAATGTTTCTCCAGGGACACGTCAACGATTACCATATCCACAAGTTGTTCAAGCCGAGTCAAATGGTTCTAAAAAGACGGAAAGGAGAGCCACAAGTCGCTTTTGTGTTGGAAAAGTACAGCCTGGCTAGACAAGAAGATATTACACTTCAAGGCTGGAACTGGCACTACAATGGCCACGAGTTGCATCGAGCAATGCAATTTGAGGCGATTGCATTTGTACCTGAGGAGAGGACGAAGATATGTGACCTTGACATTCACCCGGTTGAGTATGCTAGAGAAGAAGACATCAAAGCATTGACTCAGAGGGGGAATAAGTTTTGGAGCATGAGAGATCAAGTGTACACCTGCTATACAGGGTGGGAAAGGGGGTCAAAACATCAATACGTAAGGAAGAATACCATCGAGATTGATCACTTGAAGAAGAGGCTAACCTAAGTACCGTAAGGTGTCTGCAAGGTTCATGATAGATACGGCAACGTACCAAATCATGCATGGCCACTCTACGAACGCGGCTTCTGAACCACCGTCTAAAACTGACCCATGGCCTATGAGGGTCAACCGTCGAGAAGACTTGCCGCACAAAGCTGAGATGCTACTGCCAGCCACTGTCTATGGCTTCAATCTCAAAGAAAAGAAATGGGGTAAGAAACACACAATGAATATGGGTCCCATTGAAATGACACTGACGCACTCTTATTGCAGCCAATTTGTATGTCAAGAATATTCATGAAGTGGACTGGAACTTCAAGGCATTTGACCGTCTTGTCTTGGATGCCAAGACCAAGGAAATGATCCGTGCACTCGTCGATGTGCAGACATCGGCAAAGAAGATGGACGACATCATCACTGGGAAGGGCAACGGCCTGATAATACTCCTCCATGGAAGTCCGGGGACTGGAAAGACATTGACGGCAGAAAGGTGAGCTAAGATCTTATGTCGGGCGAATATCAAGAGTGATGGGCTGAGAATCTTTACAGTGTCGCCGAAATCGCAGAAAAGCCGCTGTACCGAGTCACCTGTGGAGACATTGGCACTGATGCGCGTGATGTGGAAAAGTACCTTGAGACAGTGATGTACTTGGGGAAAACTTGGGATTGCGGTTCGTTCCTATCTATCCGAATCAAGCTGTATAGCCTTGCCAGGTGACGCAAACTAATGTCTGGATAGTTCTCTTACTGGATGAAGCAGACGTCTTTCTGGAAGAGAGAACTATGGCAGATTTGCAGAGAAATAGTCTGGTATCCGGTATGTACAGCTTCCTAAGTTCCGTACTCGAACATATGACTTACTCTTCTTAGTCTTCCTACGACTCCTTGAGTATTACGAAGGAATTCTCATCTTGACGTCCAATCGCGTTGGAACCTTCGACGAGGCATTCAAATCTCGTATCCAGGTGGCGATTCACTACGATAATTTGACCAAGATGTCACGTAAAGCAATATGGCAGAATTTTTTCGACATGATTGAGGAGTCAACCGAGGAAGATGCCAACATGCCGGAACTAGAGAGAAGACTTGATCAGTTGGCATCGGAAGAGATGAACGGCAGACAAATCCGGAATGCGCTGCTCACTGCGCGACAACTTGCGAAACACCGCAAAGAGCGATTGGATTGGGAGCATCTGAGCCAAGTTATCAAAACTTCTGCTGCTTTCAACAAGTACCTGAAGGCAGTGCGTGGGCATACTGATGAGCAGTGGGCAAGAGGGGAATCGCTGCGTTAAGCGTATAGAGCACATCTGAGTGTCTTTCGAATGATAGAAACAACGGAATAGTCAATGGGTTTTTGTTTAAGCTCTTTCACTTCAACTATGATTAATTAAATGCGGCAAAGCTTATTCCTCCAGTCCTGAATCCACCAAAAAAACGAGGCACCGAGCGTTTTCATAGTTGGGTTTCAGATTTCCACCACAGCGATTTGATTTAACTTGCTATTAATTGAACAACACTCCTAAGATCTGAAGTAGCAGTGAACATGATTGATGTTTCAAATGTTTCTCTCGACTTAAACTAAGGATAGATTTTATAGCAGTGACCAGGCTAATGCCTAAGACTCAATTACCTAGATAATAGATGCATCTCGCCGGAACCCCCTTTTCCCTCCTTTCTGAGAAATTCTACCTCATCTCTGATTACTCAGGCACAAAGCGGTTTTCGGTATCGGTGCGAGTCTTGGACAGGAATAATACACATTTACAGTGTATACTTACACTATCTTGGCATCGCGGTCATAGATCGCAACAAGGAAGAGCAATCTATCCGCGCAATTTTGAACGGCGATGACTGGCTCAAGCAAGATTCCACACATCCGATGATCATTAGAGTGAAACGAACTTCATGAGGCTGTTCGGAGACGGTTATTTTGGCTGGATATAGAATGTTTAAGAGCATTCAATCTAGTATGGACAGAGAAAATTACTTAAGGGTGAATTTTTGTAACGTATATAGATTAAGTGCGTTCTCAATGCCTCAACGATAGACACGGTGTTCATAGCTGTAACATCTTCATAGAAACTTGGGTGGTGCATCTGTGTCAAGTTTGGCGGGGAGATAAGGAAACGAAAGTCAAGAAAAAGAAGGGAACACTGATGACAGCCATCTGTCATTTTCTCCCAACCTCAGCTCGTCGGCGTGCGTCATCCACCACTGTTTTGATGCTGTCGTGGAACCTCCAAGTGCTCTTCGCCATCCTCGATATGTGCTCCAGTTTCAGTTTTCCTCCATCCTCTTGCGCCAAGCTGCCAGCAGAAAATAAAATATTTCTGATCTGTCGTCCGTTGAGCCCATCCGTCCAGTCTCTCGCCTCTTCCTCGTCCCTGAACCACTTGAGAATCTTGTCTTTTTGTTCCACCTGGTCAGGCTTGAGCTGTTCGATGAAATTCTTGAAAATTTCCAACTTTTGTTCGCGTTGCAGATCGTCGTACTTGATGCCAAGATTCACGCGGCTTTGCACAGCGATGTCGAATTGGGTAATCCGATTTGTCGTGAGTATTAATATGCCGTCATAATACTCAAGTACCCTTAACAGAACTGAGACTAATGCATTACGATTCAGATCCGATGTGTGACTGCTTCGCGATTCAAGGAAGACGTCAGCTTCGTCAAATAGCAGTACTGCCCGCCAATTCGCCGCAAGCTCAAAGAGTGCCTCTAGATTTTGCTCTACTTCCGCGGGTTTGAGTCCAATGTCGGACACACCAACAGAAAAGAGAGGCTTCCCGGCGAGTTGGGCCACGCTTTCTGAATGATTTAATTAGAGGTGTAGTTCTTAAATTTCGATTCTGCCGTCTTCGGGAGCTTACCTGCAGTCAGAGTCTTCCCAATACCTGGCGGGCCATGAAGTAGTATCACGAGCCCTCTGCCTTTACCTTTAATGATGTCTGTCATCATAGGCTTCGAACTCGTACCACTTGAGTGATATCGTACCAGGTCTTTGATCAGTGACTTCTGCGTTGGAAGAAGCTGTAGCTTATTGAATGCGTCAGAGCTACGCAGCTCCTTGATGTCCTTGAGACAGCTCTCCCATGCTTGCGCACCATCAATTTGGCTTGCAAAGTAGCTCCCCATATTCAACTCCAACCACGTTCTTGAGTCAAGGTGATAGCCCAGTACTCGTGGCGGACAAAGTTTGAATTGGAGATCTTCAAAGTGATCTCGCGTCTTCAAGCCGTCCCAGTTCATCTTCTGGCTGTCTCTCAAGGCGGCGTTTGCAACGCAGATTGAGCATCGGCATTCAGTGTCTCTGCGAGAAAAGGTTGCTGATCCCATGGGTCCTGGATTGCTTGGAAAGGGGGAGTAATGTAGGTAAGCTTCGAAGTCAACCATGACTCGGCCTTGGATGCGACGTGGATTCGTAGGTCTTCGCTCTCTATTCCTCTGGCCGCCTCTGCTGGAAAATCGCCTCATCATTGCATCATAATCTTCTTCGATCTGATTCTGAAAACCGCTGCCGTGAGATAGGGCGAACCCGTCATAGTCAAACATCTGCGATCCCTTGGACTTGAGACACAATTCCGTGAACCTTTCTCCGCGTTCAAACAAGGAATTTTCCAGGCTATCTCGAAACATCTCATCCGACAGGGAACTGTTCTCTGATTTGTGGAATTTGAGAGGGTGGCAATGGAGTGTGCTGATGACCTTACTCCCCGCATATTGCTCAAACTTGAATTTCACGGGAACTCGCTTGAAGTAAATCCCGTCCCAGTCATAGGCCCAAGCAACCATCGACCACGACACTTCGTTGGGGCCTCCTCCTCCTCCAAGTGACTCTTCGGAATCCTTCTCCGCGTCACAGTCTTTGACAATGAAGAACTGAGGCTCATTCATGAACAGCTCCGAGTAAACGATTTCCCCAGGAGGGAATATGGTCCACAAGTGCTCAAACTGGACGGAGCCAGAGTTGTGTTGCAATTCGACTGATTGGAAGTATTTACTTAACTCAGGAAGGGACTTGACAATCTTGAGTAGCTCTGCCAGTTGTTTGCACGCGATCTCGAGGTTGTTTCTTTTCCCGAGATATTCGAGGGCTCGTGCCTTCTGATCTTCAGGTCCGGCCACATTGGTGTCTGTACGGGGGCCCAATTTCTCAATGCGGATCTTCATTTCCGCAGTCAACGCAGATTCCACAAGGGTCAGTTGATTGAGACTCTCCCAATTATGCACAAGCTGTTCACAGGGGCTGATGAAGATGATTGGATCCTTAGTGCCGTCCCAGGAAGAAAGGGAATCTGGAGACGGAAGATGCAAATTTGGATATGCCTCAAGAGCCACGCCCAGCAAGGCTTTTAACTCGGGTCCGTTGGCTTCGATCTCAGTCTCCAGGTATTTGTTGTCAACCCCTATGACCCTGGCATAGGTCAATTGAGGGGGTGAATCGTCATCTTTACTTCCAGTCCAGATGGCCCCGAGTCCAAGATTGACCAGTTCAGAATGCTCCAAGACCCGCTCGGCTGGCCCATCTATGGGTTCTAGAAAACGTTGTAGGAAGCGGCACCGAATAAGGGAATTATCGTGTGATGGGGGTGCGATGATATTGTTCCCGCTACCATCTGCCTTGATGTTCTCGCTCGAAACATTCTAAGCGAAGGAATGAGAATAAGGTTTTTGTTTTGCGAAGTTTGAATCTCTTACCAGTTGAGAATTGGTCTTCTTGTTCGATAGCGGAGTGCGACTATCCTCGGGATTTTCTGCATTTCCCTTTTTGATTTCACGCGCGGACTCTAAGTCCTTGATCCTCATCTCGAGTAGTGCGACATACCGGCGTTCGAGATCGCCGATCTTGTCGTTCGGAGACTTTTGTACCTCAATCGACATCGTCTCAGGTTTCCCGCTTGTGTGATGTTCCGATAATCAACGTGAGTTTTGGGTCCTACATTTATAAGCCCTGCTGTCTGAGCTGAGATGAAGTCGAACAAAAGTCAAAGCTAGACATGAATGGTAATAAAGGTCTACCTTGGAGATATATAGCCGGCTCACCAACGGAGTCGTCTTGTATCCTAGCAATGAAGTTAAGCCGGACTTCTACTATTCGCTCTAGCCTTGGTGGCACCGCATTTCCTGTCCATGCATCTATGCAATAATAATCGGCCCAAGATTCCTTCTCATGAACCAAAAAACACTAGCGTGCGGGGTCATCACGCAGCCTGCGTCAGATTGCTTGAACTGGCGTACAGAATTAGATTGATGGATTCGCTTGTGGTGGGAGAGATGTCAGACGTGCTTTAACAGTCGACGAGGCGACCAGTTAGATGTCCAGATGCTGTTCGTGAAGAGGGAGGGTTACGTCGTTTTACTTTTGATTCTCAGCTGCCGCCATACCCCCGGGATGCTGGACTGCATATTTATTGCATTTTACAGCATACGATTGACCTAAGTCAGTCACGGTACATAAGGCACAGCCCGCATCGTCTAAATATGGTGTGAGCCATGATTCCCCCGGACAGTCCCTTAAGCTAGTCGACTGATAGTTGGCACGAACCTCGTTGGAAAGATAATAGCTCTTGAGCCTTTCACCTCTGCGCTGTCTTGCTACATCTAGTCTCTAACATTCTTCCACCTCTCTCTCCGCCAAGGATTTACCAAGAATCTACTGTCCCCGGTATTTTCCAAGGAAGAGAGTACCCAGCAGCATTACAGAGAACTTTGAGGTGGTGTTCACCGTACCACACGATCTCATCCTTGGTCTCGCAACACGCCAAGGCACGGGTGGACATGCCTCAAGATGTGAGATACACTGCAGAAGAGGTTGACAGATTCTGGGCCACAGTCGGGAGCGAAGTTCGAAGGTAAGAACATCGGATGTACCTGCTACTATTTTTATGCGATGGATCTCTAACGAGTCTCGCGACCTCGTCAGCTTCATCAAGGAAAAGGCCGTGTGTTGTCAGTCAACCTCGATCGATGCGCTCTGGGAACGGTCTCGCGAGAAAGCTCTGCGCACTGCTCGAAAACCTTTCGATAACAGAGGGAAAGAAGACGAAGTATCAGCTCTTACGGCTCAGAATCTCGACGAGCTCGACAAACTCATTGCGAAGAAAATTGCGACCACCTCCGTACTGGAAGAAGCTCATAGCACTGACCAACGAACCAGCAAGCGTGCAGGGAGGGCGCTTTGCGACTTCTTCGTAGGGTTTCAAGGTTACTGTCAAGCTTATTCAGGTGTGGTCCAGCTCATGGGTGGCCTCGACCAGAGCTTTGTGACGGGCGCTCTCCAAGTGTTGGGGCTTTTCATGGTGGTGAGTAACTTCAGACCAAGGCCTAGCTCCACTCCGAATCGCGACAATGATGAAACTTATGAGTCACCCACTAGCTGACTTCAAACCTCGTAGGTCGCTGTGAACAAAAGCGAAACAGAAATAAGAATTCACAGCATGATCAAAACATTGACCTCTGAATACGCAAGAATCCGGAAGATTGTTGGCATCTACAGTAATAGCAGTACATTGAGGGAACGCGTTGCAACTGTATATCAACTCGGCATAGAGTGCCTACGAGAAGCAACTGTTTATTACTCTTACGGGTCATGGAGACGGCTTTGGCACGTGGTATCCAGCCCGCCAGAGATTGACCTCGATGCCAAGATATCAGACCTGCGAAGCGCTATTAACGAACTCAACGAGGAGCGTGATGTTGAGGCACATTCTAGGTTAAACAGAGTGGAGGAAAAGGTTGATGTCAGCTTTGAGCGTGAGTACTATTTCCGTTGGAAGGATCTCGCTTGGCTAGAACTCTTTTCCAAATCCAGAAGCTGACGATCTGTCTTAGAAAGCAACCTTGAAAGATTAGATGCCAGGCTTGAGAAAATTCGTTCACTCCTGGGTCTCTCTCCCGTCAATGCTTCCACTCAGCTAAGAGACCTCGCCTCCTCACTGGAAATTGACTTCTCGCACCTAAGAAGAATACCCCCTTTTCGAGCGGAAGATCTGACGTCCAATACTTCATTCAAGGATTGGTTGGACGCAGCTTTAGTCGAATCATCGACGTTTCTCCTCATTCAAGGGCGAACAGTTGCTCCCCATGACTCCAATCTTGCATGGGTATCTCAGGCCACTGTAGAGGCTGTGCGTCGTTTGAAAGAAAGGAAGGCCATCTCCGCGTGCTACCTTTGCAAACAAGAGGGTATACACGAATCGAATTATGGAGATATTCATCCGGTTCCGACTGCTGCTGTGGTGCTTGCTTCTCTCGGCTATCAACTCCTGGAAAAGTTGTCTCAAGGCCGCACAGTAATACTGGCAGGATCAAGTTCCCCGAATTCTGAGTCTCAAATGCGAGACCTGTTAGACAAAGCACAAAGTTTTCGGTCGATGATTGAGGCCCGTAAGGCTAGAAAGAAACATGTGTCTACGAAGGATTGTTCAAATGTTGCGATGGGCTTCCTTCGCGCGTCTATTGCCTTGATTGCGCAAAACTTACTTTTCTTCCTCCCTGATTCTAGACGGGTGGTGTTCTACCTCATCGTAGATCGAATTGACAGTCTAGCGCAGCATGATACTCTACTCTTAGAGCCTTTGATGGACTTAACACAGAGGCCAGAGGCTGGGACAGCTGTGAAGGTGCTGGTGGTTGGGGAACGTAGGCTTGGAAGGGATTCCGAGATTTCCGAGTTCGTCGCAAATCATCAACACACATTTGCGTGGGGAGCAATCGAGCTCGACCAAGGAAGTTGATGTGTTAGGCATTCAAGGGGTCTGTAAGAAGTAGAATGAAAACAACATGAAGTACTTAGTAGACCGTACGCGGCATTGAAGCAAAGTGGGACTGTGGCAAAGGCCGAACGAAGAGGGACGACGCACGTATGCTCAGCCTTTTCTCGGTTCAATGGAACGTCGTAAATGAATTGATTCCTTATCAGACTTAACATCAACAAGCAATGAACAAAGTGATGGGAGATCCATGTTCTGGTTACGTTACAATAGGAATGTACTCTACTAGACTGTATTCTCAACCAACATCCTGACCATCTTAATGCTCCAGAGGCCGAATAAAGTCAAATTCCGGAAAAAACGATTGTCCCCCCACATCAACCCAATTCATAATCAGGAGCCTGGTCACTTCTGCTTCGAGTAAGCTGCGGCTGAAGATGAAGCTGAAACCTAATCATCATGCATGAAATGTGGAGACATGAAGAAAAGTCATCGTCGTAGAGTAGCTTCCAGCTGGAATAGAAGTACAGTCAAAGACTAATCGTATTCAATAGCCTAATTCAGGCTTTACTTCCTTGCTCTCAAAGAGGAGTTGCAGCTGATGTATCCCTTCGAGCTACCTGGCACCTGGTATCATGCAGGTGGTCATAAGATAATGTGAAAACTTTGGACGTGCGGTTCTTGCGGTGGATAAAGTGTCTTCAGAGGCTGCAACACTTTCCGAGGTTGAAAGGCTCCAATCATGATCAGCTGATATCTAAATCCAAAGTCCAAGAAAACACTTTTCGCCTCAACTTACCCCCTCAGGTTCGTACAACTCGATAATTTTGAGCGTATAGTGACAGTTGACGCGGGGTAGCAGCTTATATTCAAGCCCCTAGAAACATCAGCTGAACGTTGGACCTCCATGGCCAAACAGATCCACGATCCGCCCTGGGACTTCTCAAGTGTGAGACATCATTAAGTCGTAACTTTCATTATTCGTTTCCACATGGTTCCGAGGCAATAGTTCACCCATAACTCAATCGTTATAAACCAAGGCACATGCTAGGAAAATCTCAATCCGTTGTCCACTCCATGGTAACCTTCTCATAAACATCGGCAGCTGAGTACTATGGCACCAAAAAAGAAATCCGAACAGTGCAAAAGGCTGGAGCAGCCTACTAGTAAGAAAGTGGAACAACCCAAGGAACAGGTGCAGTCGAAAACACCGACACAACCCCAGAAGTTGGAACCAAGCAATAAATCGGGGCAATTCAAACCCCCAGAGCAACCTAAGAAATTAGAACAGCCTAAGAGATCAAACCGGCTCAAGGAGTCGAAACAACCTAAGACACCGGAACATAAGACATCGGAACAGAAGAAACCAGAACAGCTGAGGAAACCAAAACAACCTGAGAGCCAGCCTGGTCTGCAGACTACATCATGTCAAACCCTCATTCTCACAGTTTATCCCCAATATTTGACGATTGAGGAAGTGGCACAGATCATCGAGCAATTCAAAATATGCCCATGGCTTGAGAATAAACAGGTGCTGTGGAGCGGGGTGAACAGGACTCAGGTCCAAGCATGGGCAGACCAACGAGGAATGCAGACGCTCACCACCGCCATGGGACCTTTAATGGATCATAGCAATCCCATGTGCTTACGATCAGAGAAAAGACCCTCAGCATGGTCTAAGTACGTGAAGGGAGCTTCTCTTGTTTTCGCATGGCGTATTTCCCAGGGTTCATTCACCACTGTCCTGACTCCACCACCACCGGAACGATTCCATCCAGATGGCCTTACCAACTGGCAAGACATAGAGGAGCCCGTCCTCAAAGGACGTCTCGGCGCTCCGACCTCATTTCGGATCTTTCTAGTTCATCCAACAGTCCAAGGAGCCGAAGACTTCCGCTACCAGATTTGGCCGTTAGACTCCACGAATCAATGGATCGGCAAATTCAATGTCCACAAGGCATCGGTTCATGCTTGGAGAACTATTTCCAAGTATAGAAGTTAGTTGATGTCCTAATAATGACCGATCTTTATTTCGAAGACTGACATAAGGCTGCCACGTAGCCTTTACAAGATGGGTGAGAGCTACTAACGAGCCACTCAAATCGGCCATCACGATCAAGATGCCCGAAGTGTGCAAGGCTACAGTCGTGCCACTTCTCACTTCGACATCGTGCGATAAGATCTCTACTCCTGGCGCAACAAAAATAGTCGAACCCCCGAGCTCAAGCAAGGGGACTATCCCTTCATATCCGGCAAATCCTATTCAAGCTTCGCAAAGTGAACGGAACGTTTCACGGACTCAAACAAAAGTTGACACAAGTCTAGGTGTACCACAAGTCAGCGAATCTACGATGACTCCTCCAGATCCAATCCCGTCTCAACGAAGCCCAAAGAACGTGTCTCAAACTCAAGCAGATGCAGGGACTCAGACGGGTCAAGCCTCAGTCCCGATACCATTGGTCGACAAGCTTTCAAGCCATGAGGTCGCAAATCCAGCTGAATCTCGTTATCCGCAAAGTCAACAGAGTGTATCTCAGACACAAGCAAGCGCTATTACGAGTCGAGCCATGCAGTCCGACGAGAATGTCGCGAGCAATGTGTCTCCTTTTCTAGACTCAGAGCACCTTTTGACAAATCAACCGGACATTTCTCCAGCTCAAAGAAATAAAGAGATGGATCAGACCAGTACGCCCCTGGTCCCTGCAGAGGATCAAAACCCCGTTACGGGGGCTTCATCGGCCTTTCTGATGTGTCTGCAGTTGGCGATCGTGGAAATGGCTTCTTCGTTGCTTTTGGTCTCGATAGGTATTATCGTACAGCTCATTTTTATCTCCAAGCATGCCGTCAAGTTCGACAGAATCGATCTAACAGATTTTTATTTTTGCGATGGTTCGACTCAGTCAGAACGCAAAGCGATTCTGAAAGCTGCGAAGAGGGCAAAGAAAATGGCCGACTCAGAAAGAAAGGCACAAAAAGCAGCACGAAAAGAGGCCAAGAAGTCATTGGATTCGGGTTCGGCACTGGTCACAGGGAACAGTCAAATTTCGTTGTTTCATGAGAAGGGGGTCTTGGACGAAACCGAGGCTGCCCTTGACTGGCAAGATGCCTCCATCAACTTGCCATCGCCATCGACCACAAGGTCCGGGATTGATTTTTCGAGCTTCGGCTTGCCTCAGCGCAAGAAGAATAAGAAGACCAAGAGCCAGAAGAAGGCCACGACTGCGACAGTCACCGCGGGAGACGCGCAAGTCACTGCGTTTCCAGAACCTAGGAGCGGGTATGCACACAACTGCCTTGGACCTTCAAATCCCAGCACGCTGAGAAAAGCCTACTGGGTTGACTGAGGGAGAGCTTTCGATACAGATAGTCACCAACAACGCCGTTTCTGAAGTACTTAATGTATGGCCAGGAGGAATAGATTGTGTGAAGTTGTAAGTTGAGGGCTGTGCACCTAGGATTTGTGATGAGACAAGACAGACCACTTGGGACAATCTGCTTTGGGAGGGTACGCTTGTCAAAACTCGTTTGATTAAGGATTTTAGTAAGGTCATGGCTTAGAACAGACGCGGACGAATCATCTCTAGGAAGACAGTTTTGTAATATTACGTGTCCTGGTTAACATGTCAAGAATGGTGTTTTTTGTGCAGTTCTATGTCAAGTCTCACAACTGAACTCCAGGAGCAAGAAGATGGTCTCAAGTTATTAGAACTTGGTGTTGAACATGAGTGAAGTTAGACAAGCCTCGTAGGAGTTTCAAACACATACATACTCTAGTCAGAGTACGACTGACGTGTCCCTCTTGGGTTCACCTCAACGTCCAGCTTGAACTCACATAGTCAGATGGTTCGGAGCAGATGTCTTCTGCCTTGGTTGTCAATTATCGATACAGAAAATAGGGAGAATTAGCGAGAGACTCCAACGATGTCCCTGATTGGATCGTACACAGTTGTGGAAAGCCCGAGCAGTACCTTACAGGTTCTTGTGATAACGAGCTCATACCGTCAGAGCCGAAGGAACACGGGCATAGCTCGTCATCGTCGATTGACATCAACGAGACTAGGTTGCCTCAATATCTTCGCTCGCGCATCGACAGATGGATAATGACACGTGAAATTGGAAAGACTCACCACCGTGGCTTCTCCCATCTCGGTGTCACGTCACGCATCAGCTCACGAAAGCCAACCGCCTGTTCCCCAGCTAACCCGCAATACCTACACCTCACCTCGCCCATCAAGCGTCGGCCGAGCCATTGTTCCACAAAACTCGCATCACCGAGAGACGATCCCTAGTCATTCCCCTCTCTTCACAGGCCATTTTCATTGAAGCACCCCAGAATACGAAGGAGTGCTGGGCATTGAAGTGGGTGAAGCAAAGGGTGTAAAGGACCTAGACAACGGGACGATCGCTGGCGTCATTCAAGCCCTCCACATCATCCAAGTTCAGGGTCCTTTTCAAACGGGCAGCAAATCAAGAAAGGTGTGTTTAGATGGAAGAGGGATCAGCAGCGCTTCACACCCTCTCGCGCAACCCATCTGTACGTTATGGCTGCAGTTGATAAGCAAGGCAGACGCGCCTCATTGAACCCTGAAACGTCTTCTTGCAGGGCTGGCGTGGCTGTCTGTCTTGTGCGAGATATGAGAGGTCAATCGCTTGGGTATCAATCTCACACCCACTGGCATTGAGCGAGCAGCGAGGTCGCAGTACACCGGTATGTCTGCAGCAAACAGCTTGGGGTCTAGAAGGGGAATTATGCCACTTAAAACAGCGATTGAGCGAGGCTGGATAGGGAGCACCCTCAGATAGGATGATATTTCCCGACCCTCCATCTCAAAGTCCTGGATATCGTCCGAGATGGACATAATATTGTTGGGGCCATCATCATCGCGGTACGGGGCGAGATGTTACGGAATCTATGCAGACCGTGGATCCATCGCGCGATGTAGTGGCACGGTTCCTAGTTTAACTGTTGATGGTGGGCGTCTAATCTCGGCGTGATATTTGACAACATAATTAGCAAAAGCTAAGGTAACGGCAAAAAGTCCGGAAAAAAGTCAACAAAGCATTGTTTTCTCCGATAACGCAAGGACGGTGAGGGCAGAAGAAGACGCGCACAGCCTCGCGCGAACCTTGCCGCCACCCGGCCGAGCGAGCCACACACAGAGAGAAACGCAACACAAGCACACGCACGTAGAAGAAGGGGGTGAAGAACAAGGTGGTCGGGGATTTTACAGACCAGCCAGCCAGCCAGACCCAGCCCCTACAGCATCTAGGGACCCTGCCAACGCCGCAGATTATCATAGTTACCGGCCTCCTTTTCGTCATGTCAATCCATGCAAACGCACTGAAGCTCACTGAAGCTTCTTCTGCTTTAGCAGTCTAAGTCCGTGCCGCTCCTCATCTCCACCAGCGTTGGCAGCGGACGCCTCTAGGTCCTCTTCCCAACAACAACGCAGCACACGTAACACGTATGCATAGAATCCACAGAGGCGAGGTTGACATGTTTGGTTCCAAGGCAAAGGCAAACTAGTGTGGGAGACGTGCGCGGCGTCGTGCTTCGTTGGAGTGATGTTTGAACGCCGGCGGCTCTTTTGTGCTCCACATCGGTCTGATATGATGGATGAGGAATGATTATGTGATGATGGCCCGTTCGTTCCCATCGTTTAGCCTCAACATGATGTGAGCAGCACCAGAGTGGAAACCCAAGCAGTGACAAAAGAATTGGGTCTTGCGGGGGTTGGGTTCGGGTTCGGGGGTTGTGGGCTGGTGGTCCTGTCTCCCTTGCGCGAACTCCTCAACCGCCTGGACCTTCTCCAGAACTGAGCTGAGCTGAGCTGCACGACGGCCGCTGCTTTGCGGAGACGGGAAGGGGACTTGAGGGGAAGATTTTCACTCGATCAGCGGGAGTCTAAATCTCTGGGGAACAAACGCAAAACGGCGGTTGGGGCTGGATTCATCAGAGACATGAATCTCCACAGATAAGCAGTTTGGTTTTTTTTCCGTCTGGCGTCTCATCCTCGAACTGTCGTAGATCCCGATTCCCGTTCATCGAGGGCAGGCAAAAGCAGCAGCGGCGCGTCCGCTGTTTTCAGCGATGCGGCGGACGCCGGGGGAGGGGGTGGAGAAACATGGGAGGAGGACGTCAACATGGAGGCTCGACAAGTCCGTTCGTCATTTCTCTCGGACTTCCAACGAACTATGCAATCCACATTGAATCCGCATTGCATATACTGTCTATTTCGAATTCGTCCATACATCGTGTTGAGCGTATCAGAAGCATCGAAAGAGCTGGACAAAAAGCGTCAATATTGCCTGTGCCGCTCATCCACCCCCGGCCGCCCTCGTCTCCGCGCTTATTAGCAGCTCAAGGCCGCAGGCACTGGAGCCGACCCATCCGCTGGGTCTCGTTAACCGTGAGTCGACATCTGCAAGTGAGCCTCGAAGGGGGAAGAGAACAGCCTCCTCGCATCTTGACAGTCGCAGACCGACGGTCTAGAGCGTGGTCCATCGAATCCTTCACCCCCTCTTCAGTCTTCACCTCCTCTCATAGAGCTACAGCCAACGCTCACCGGCCCGTAGCTCTTGGCCAAGGGACTCTCCGTCTGATCCACGGGCAACTCGAGCGCACCACCCGCTCAGTGATCGACAGTGCCGGCTTTGGTTGTCAGATTTGGCGCATCTAACGGACAGCTCCAGTTGCTGCAAAGCTTAGGAACGAGGCGAGCTCCCAGCCAACGCGTGTTCGGCAGGCTTGAGTTTCTTTGCTTGAGGCGGTAGGTCTTGCCGGTGTAGTCGGGGAGCGGAGGACTCCGCTGCCGGCAACTACATTTCCCGTCGCCATCGCCTTTGAAGTTTTATCGCACCAAGACACAGAAATAGCAAGATTCAACGTCTATCAAATCCGATCTATGCTCAAATAACTCAAACCCCCTCCTAGCGACGTGTACCCCTCTTCTCACGCCTTGTTCTGATATGCCTCTGCAACTATAGCTGCCAATTCTCAAGACTGCGCCTTCATGGCCCGACAGTTCTCATGCTCGCATATCCCAAGAATCGTGCAGCGCAGTGGCTCATTCGTCATTCTCGCGCCTGGTCCCCCTAGTAGAGGCGAAAAATCTCTGCAAGTAGTTGGCAGGGGTCGACATCAACCTGCAGTCCCAACTGTCCGATATTGTCTCACCATATGTGCCTCGCTGAAATGCTCTCTCTTACGTCTTGTGAACCCTGTATCTGAAAAATCCCGACCATCGGCTTTCAAGCCTCGAAGGGGTGGTCTTGCATGCCACGGATTGGTCGATTAACCACTCAACTCATCTCATCCCGTTCCCGTTGCCGCTGACGGGCTTCGTTCCGAGTCCCGACTCCCATCGCCGTTGTCGTCGGTATCGCAATATGACTATTGTTGGGTTGCCTCATCCGTTTTGACATGTTTGACATCCGCAACTGGCCTGGATCTCCGCGACCCCTGGTCTATGTGATGTGCTTCGGAAGATTTCACGCGTCAATTCATGCTTCAAGGACATGCGAACTGGTCGTCCCCATCGGAGCCACACATCGTGAACAGCACACCCCTTGTCGTTCCAACCCATGGCCAACGGCTAGGCCTTTGGCGGCCACCCCCTTGGCCATGCAACGACACCAAACCAAACATCGTGAAATGGACCGGGCATGAGCCAAACTGCAAGGCGCAAGAAACGGCTCAGCCAAACCCCTTACCATGCTCGTCACATCATGAGGCTCTCCACCACCACGACGACATCTCATTCCCCATTTCCCATCTGCCATCCCTCCAGCCTGTGACAACTCCACATCCCCCGCTAGCCACGTTCGTCGCCTGCCCAGATAACGATCTTAGCACCATCGCCGCACAAAACAAACGAACTCTTGCAACTCCCTGAAGTAGCAAGATCCCCTCTGCCACACGCTCCACGCACGCCCACTCGCCTCCCTCGTTACTTTCTAGACGAACGCCTCTATCCCTATTTCTGTATGATTGTATTTCTGGCTTACCCGGTCTTGCCAGCCAGAAACCAGCCCGTCCAGCCCCTTTGCCAACCATGCCAGCCAGTCCAGGGCGCTAGAGAGCTCCGCTAGCAGAGCCAAGGTGAAGGAAAAGCCTCAGAGATGGACGAAACCAGCCAGCGACAGCACCCACCGCCGCCCTAGCAGAGCTGTCCTACGCACCGTCGCGGGCGCCATCTGCCAGGCGTGCCAGAGAAGCTCTGGGCTGGATAGTAGTTCCTCATCGGTAGAAGGCAAACAAAACAATGAACAAGCCTTTAATCCTCCATGCCAGCCTTGCCAGCCTCCGAAGCCGGCGCTATATCAAGCGTGGCATAGTCAAGGC